TACACATATTGCCTGTTTATAAGACAACAAAAACACTGAGAAGGGATTATAAACAGGATATTTTATACCACAAGGAAGAATCCTTCTGACCTAGTCGGATCCAGGAACGTTGGCAGAGGTTTGTGTGCAACAAATATGAATAATATTAAGTGGTATAAATACATTTTTAACTATATTAAATTAAATGGTATTTATAGTCCAGTAAAATGTGACACCACATCGGCTAGCTGATAACGAGTTTTGGTGCCATTCTGCAGTCTTCATCATGCAGGCTGTACCGATTCCGCGCGTTTTTGCAAGGAAGGTATGATATTCCACAGTTCATTAAGATACGTTTTTTGTCTATCCCTGGTTAGGATTAACGGATTGAGTTGACGGATTAAAGGTTTGTGTAAGGGAGGGGAGATCAAATGCCGTGAGTTAGAAATGAGAGAAATCGTATTGGGTCACAGATAGTGCAATACTACTGTTGTTTGTACTCGCAACTATTTTGAAACTCGGAGCTGAAATTGGAATATCTAGGTTTTTGCAATTTGTTTGGGCGTGTCCGAAAAGGGCATATAAGATATCGAGCCAAAGATATAATTATATCAGTACGTTTCTGGTCCTTGAAGGTCAGGAAAATGGTAGAAGTGTTGGTTGAATGAACGATTGCTTCTGGACAACTCCGCAGGGTCACAGAGGAGGGAGAAGAATAGAGGAATATGTGGAAACGTTTAGGCTTGGGTTGGTGGGGCGGGTGAAGGCTGACAAAGTCAGGCGTGGCGTGGTGGAGGAGGGGCTGGTCCTTCTTGATGGTATTCTTGAGGAGGGGTCTGCCGAAGTCTTCCTCTTCAAGGGTCAGCAGTGCACGTGTACTCTGATCATGATCATATCCTACAGTAGGGGTAGTGAGATGGGTTACGGGCGGCAGGATGTCCTGAGCCGCCTTGGCGATCTTTACACAAGTACCAGGCAACCATAGTCTGAGCGAAACTGTGGTTGACTTTCGGAGGTCCCGTCTTCGCCGTGGGGACATGTTAACACACAGCAACCGAACCACGCAGCCTCACCGAAGTCTCATCTTACGACCAGCATGGACTGCTGGGGAGTAATTCTAATCCGGCAACACAGGTTTTGCTGGCCGCCCTGACATAGGTTGAAAAGTTCTGACAGCAATCAAGGTTTACTCCTTACCGTAAATGCCATAAGTGGTGGTGGGTAACTCACTCACTCATTAGTTGGGTGGTGTGAACAAGGTTGTCTCCGCACCACTGGGGTATGAGGTAATGGCTATAGAGTATTTTACGGCCGCTTCAAATATGTAAAACTCACCCAGTTTGTATCACTACTTGATTTTTTTCTATAAATAACTTGTTGATTAAAACGTATTATTTATGAACATCGATCGATTGATATCACAAATTCTGTTTTATATCAAGTACAATTTTATATCAAACAAATTTAATTGGGAAATCACTGACAATTTTATATAATTGATTTTGAGATATCAATAAATGAATGATCAAATCAACACAAATAACTTACTGACGCCATGCATAATAGCAGACATAATATGTAGTCTGGAAACAGAAGGCTAATCTGCATGTTGGTGTGGCTTGTGTCTGGATATCTGAGTATGTTGCTGTTTCTTTTAATGTGAACAACACACAATGCATGTTCAGCTATTGGATTCTCATAACACGTTTGTTTCACAGTACATGACGCTTACGCAATAGCCCAACACGAAGTTCCCAGCTAATTTATTGTTCAAATACACTGACACAATATCCTAACTTTGGAGACGTTATCTGCAAGAGGGCAGCACTCATGATTTGCCCCGGGCTATCGTCCACGTGTGACGTCACGTCATCGGATGTAATACCAAACTGCCACACCAACAGCTCGGACAGAACCGATTGAGGGAGGACAGCTTCCGGCCCCGAAATCCTGCGATACGCACACTTTTGCTTCCACGTCACCGCCAGGCACGCCCATACTGGGTGAAGACAGCATCAGCACGATGACCCACTCAGCAACATCACACATCGACCCTTCGATTCACATTCAGTCAATTTGTACTGCAGGCTTTGACTACTAGGGGCGTGCCTGGCTTCTGAGTTACTCTGCTCTCTCACTATTCAGTTTGGAAATTTATATTTATGATTGAATTGTGTGAGTGATCATTTACATTGATTTTGACTATATTTGTTAAATTCAAGATTTGCCCAGATGCCTGTCATCGATGTGTGGTGGAAAATGTGAAGATAGCAGACTATGTGACAAACCTCCTTCCTGTGTAAACTGCTCTAGCAATCATCCCTCATCTTCCAATGATTGCCCTACGTGGAAGCTACATTCTAAAATTTCACGTATACAGCATTCGCGTAACAAATCTTTTCTGGATGCGAAGAAAATTGTTCGTGCTCAAGAAAAGTCAGGCTCAAGTTATGCTGCTGCTGTGTCTGTTCCAAGGCCATTGGGGAGAGAGGAAGTATTCAAATTGCATTCATTTCTGTCGAAAATAGGGACCCAGAATTACATCTAGCTGGAACTCAAATAAAAGTTGTAAAAGAAGTTAAACTTTTATGAATTATTTTTTATCATCTTACTTTCTTATCACATATTAAATATCTGAAAACTAAATGTCCCAGGGCACTAGATTTACTAAAAGTTGTTTCTAATTCCAAGTCGGGAGGGGACCAGTCAACCCTCCTTCACTTATATAGATCACTTGTCCTTTCTAAACACGATTATGGCTCCATCATCTATACCTGATCCAATACATCATCAAGGTCTAAGGCTTTGTCTGGAATCTTTCAGAACAACTCCAATTGTCAGTCTGTACGTTGAGGCCGACGAGTTATCACTTAACGCCGTATTAAACTATCTTTACAGTATATCACACAGTTACCTTCCAGTGTGTCCAATCCTGTATACAGCTATGTGTTTAATCCCCTTTATGAGGATTTGTACAGTAAAAAGTCATCTCTTATTCCACCTCTTGGAATAAGAATTAAACATTTTATTTCTGCTGCTAACATTGAACTTGAAACGATATCTCCTATCCGGTTTCTGTCTTCTCCTCCTTGGCAATTGGTAAAGCCACAAGTAGACCTGACCTAAGTGATGCAGGTCTCAGACGTTTACCGCTTTGAGAAAACCAACGAACACGAGTATGGTGCTGACAAACCTAGAAACATAATTGTAAATGTAGCCGTATGATGGGGGATACTAGTAGTGAAAGATCGTAACACATCTCGCTACGATACGGCTTGTTCCAGATCAAGACTAAAACTGCCGTTTATACCATCTCCGTCAAATCCTCACAACATAACCAGATATCCTAGCAACATGTCACCAGTCACATAGCATAATTAGAATTTCACCACACTGACAGTGTTTACATTCGTTATCACTGCCAGTATCTAGAGTTATCTCCCCTCGACCGTAAGCACTTGTCACTATCACTCCCTCACCTCCCCCCGCACCTATCAATATTTCATTCATGCAAATACACTGTATAAAGTTTAACTGTAAGTTAAATATAAGCTAGTTGAGGACAAAGTCTATATTTACAACAACTGAATGCAACACGATTTATAACTGCACATCTGTAACTCCTGATTTAAGGAAATCCAGTTAGATTCATAATCTTGTTGCCAAACTGGCGTCTGTCTGCGGGAATATCTAATGCGCTGCTGTCCCCAATGAGCAACTGCAACATTGTTAAACTCATCAATGTTCGTTGGCAACACAATGATGACTAAACATTTAAATGAATTTGAGACCTAATGATTGTATCAATTCCTGGGGTTTGCATCAAGTGTGCCTGGTGTATATCTTTATCGTAAACGCCTGTTGTGAAGTATTTCCCCCTCTCTACTTCGTGGGATCGTATTAGATTTGATTAGATGCATGAACACTATTTATGTGTTAATCGACTCAGCGTCATTAATAGTTCCACATTCCTTGTGGGTCGTGACACTTCTAGTTTCAGTAAGGAAATGTTTCGTTATAAGAATATCCAAGACAGTCACTAAAATAAGAACAAGGAAATTTTTTCGTCAATTTCAATTGTTTGACATTCAGTGAGTATTTATGATATTTACAACTTCACACATCGAGCGCACAATTACACAACTCCAGAATAATTATCCAGTATATATATATGTATATATAAATAAATATATATATATATATATATATATATAGAGAGAGAGAGAGAGAGAGAGAGAGAGAGAGAGAGAGAGAGAGAGAGAGAGAGTTAATTCATATAGGATAATATGCACATATATGCACAGTAAAGTTCTAACTCTCAGGCACAATGTAGTAATAATTAAATAAGTGGAGTAAGATTGAACACAGTTTGAATTGGCTAGCGTTTTCAACCACGTACGGGTCTCGTCAGGCCATAACTGAATGTTATGTTTAGTTATGGCCTGATGAGACTCGTACGTGGTACGAGTTGACATGTAGGATAATTATACATTTGATGGAAATACATCCAGACATCGCAAATATGATTTAACCCGGACAGTAATGTATGTATTTTAAACCGTTGGCAAAAACAAGTATTCACTTGAAAATTGGATCCGACCAAATAATTAAAAAGGGTATCAAAATGTTGTCCATATTTTAAAGAACAGAAATATTTGTATCTGACATTATTAAACATAATATCCTTACCTTATGAATTTAGTTATGTTATTTTCCACTAAAATAGTATTGTCACGTAACTTTTGAAAAGTTATTTTGCAAAATTAGATAACATGTAAACTTGTATCTTGTTTGAACCGTCCCATACTACGTTGCATCACTGCCTGTCCTCTGAATGACATCTCATGTTGTACTTGTATTGTATATGTATATGTGCTTCTAATACCGTGGACCACAGCCTGAAATTAATGAAGTTCAGTTCAGCTAGGCAGAAAACAGTCGCCGGAACACTGGCAACTTGAAATCCAAAAACACAACTACGATACCATGGATACCATCAAATAACCATTTGTTGTGTTTCATTTTCAGCCACCATCAAATATTGGTGTATACTTTCTCTAGCCGGGTAGTTTATATGCATATATTGTTTTCCAAAATGACGTGTACATTTAGTCTAAGTTTGTGAACGGCTGCACTGTTTAGTCAGTAGTCGCCTTGCACTCATTAAACATGCAAATTCAGCATTGATGTGTTTCAAAGCACTCCTACAAGCAAAACTCATTGACATGTTTGTACTGGCAACAGTTAGACCGTCTCAGTCACTGTCTGGCCTGCTGTGGTCTTGCTTGAGATCCTGCTGTGGTTTTATCATCTGCAACAGATCAAATAATTGTCAGTGTACTTAGGCTTTAAAAGCTAAAACACTACGTCCGATCTCAGAGTTGGACATTATGAATCGTACGTTACCAACTTGTATCATCAGACAGCTTGTAAACAGATAATATTTTACAGTTCCCTGCAGTCAAAAGCTGTCAAAATCACCAAAACTATGAACGGGACAAAGCGGAATGTAAATGTATCATTTTAAAAAATGTTTCACTTTTCTGAATTCGTACATATGGCGCAGATGTACATGTTAAACGATGACTATTGTTTTTCAACAGTTGAATATTTCTTTGTTCTGCGCAATTTGATGACCCACTCACTCACTGCCCAACCCACGTCCTCCCAAGCGAAAACTTTAGTTTATAAAAGAATTGATTGTTATGTCTGTTACCGGAAACGAACTCTTCTCGATCATTTAAGTAACATAATCTATTGCATTGTCAAGTATATTTCATCATATATACTGTGAAGTCTTTTACCGGGTCCAGCTGTGAGGCGACTCCTCGCAAACAAGATTATGGTGCTGCCTATGACAAGGGTGAGACAACAGGCAGTTCCACACATGGTTAGGATAAAGGCATGGGTTGCCGGATATTCTGCGACAAAAGAATAAATAATAGAGGGGTGTGTGTTGAAGATGAAATATGATTTTTGATCTGTATAAAACTTATATGTGCAATTTAGTTCCATATTTTTTCACTTAAAAAAGATTGATATACAGTGTCATTTGTAATGCAATAACACATAATGTACACTGTTATGTCATCATGTCGTACGTGCCACAGTAACTCATATATACACTTGTATATGTACACAATATTCCAATGTACCCAGGCGCCCTGTGTGTCAACGCCATAACATAAACATGACAATTGAAAGGAAGAATATTAAAACTAGACTGGCTTTTAAACGCTTCTTTGCACGTTTGGCCATAAATACTTGAATCTCGGGAAAACTTTAACAAACCTTTGTTTTCTGTCATAGCTTCTGTAGTTGTAGTTGTCTTGCTAACGATGGATGTTGTCTGGGGTTGGGTGGTTGTACTCCCGTCTGTGACAAGAACCATAATGTTATAAGGACAAACTGAAGATATAAAAGTATCTTGTAAGTATATTGACAAGAGCGTGAACTGTAGGCATTAAAACTAGACCAAACTTTACCAAACCTGACCACATCTACATAAAGAACCCACCGATTTGACCTTATTAAGTAATTCATGAAATACATTCGGTATTCACCAGCAGTACATTTATTGGGATTTCGGAAATCGTGATATTATATGTTTCAGACATGGATTGTTTTAGTACAATAATACTTGTGTTATATATATAACATTTACTTGGTCTTCCGCGACGAATTACATACCAGTGACTGGCTTGACCACCCTTACTGTCAGATTATTACTAGAATCCTCCCCTAGACCACACCTCCACACAGATCCCTCATCCAGTGTAGAGTTGATGGTGAGGATCACGTTGTGTCGGATCAGGGTTGCATCCACAGAGATCCGTCCTGACACAGACCGGAACTCCTCGTGATCAATGTTCTTGTCAAGCATCTCAAACTGGTAATTCCTATTTGTTTGAAAAATCCGGACCCAGTTCCTGTACCACAATGCAGTTCCTATGGTGTGATCGTGTCTACACGATAAAGTACACGGTTGCCCTTCTATAGCTTGTGTAGATTTAAGGCGGTACTTCAACGAAGATGCTGTGCGAAAAACACAAAAGGCATGTGTACCTATTGTTCTATGCTTGATAACTGTAACAATTGACTCGCGATATAAACTCATAATCAGTTTCCTCTACAGCAAAGATAAATTGGGTTTGACGTTTAAAGCGACGAACATGTGTGTGCGTGTGCGTGCGTGGCTGCGTCACTGCTTGTACTGGTCCTGGACTAATGTCTGTTTTGTAATGCGAACCCACTGAGATACCATGCCGCAGTTTAACTTGGACTCCGCCCAGACACGATATACTGACTCCGAGCCGACCAGTCCTTGTTTTAGCCCCTTAATGCCGAGCGCCTGGCAAGGTAACAAGTACCATCTTTCGACGTCTTTGGGTATGACGCGGCCAGGCGATCGAACCACTTACCTTCCACTCTCTTAGATGCTCTGTACTCGAGAACACGGAGACCGTCTGTTCTATGAAATAGGTCAACTCTCCTCAAAGTAGAAATCCAGGAAATAAGTAAAGAATTTCCACCCATGCAACTTACCTTCAATTGTCCTCATTATGACCAAAGATATGACTGAGAGCTTGTATATATCCATCAGTATCTGTTACTTCATGGGATCTGGGAAATAGAGCCAATAGTAAGTATACAATTTGAAAATGAGTTACATTTTAATATGCATTTATTGAAAAACTTAATGCATTAAAAATTTTAATTCAACCCATCCTAGCGATTCTAAGTCAGAAGACGTTACCAGTACCAGTTGTCGTAGGAGCTTATACTAAACAGAGACATCGTGAGAACCTGATGCTTTCGGAAGAAGAGCCAACGAATCCGGCGTCAACATATTGAGTGATGTCTCCGACTTAAACCATGTTAATGTTGATATCTCATATTTCTTTAATTTTGCATCATCACCAATAGTTCCGTCAGTTTTACTGGAACAAAATGCACATTCAGAATGGCTTGTGAATTCCTGGCTCAGAATCAACTCCAAAAACAATATCATTACCTCATCATAAATGTTAACGAGGGAAATTGGTTATCGTACAATAAAACACCGCTGAGAGTATAAACTACTATGGGCGCAAAACACTGCAGGGAGATATGCGATATCAGCATTATTACAGCCTATTTAAGGTTGTTGATAAAGTTCACAAGCTTGAAAATATTTCCCCGTATTCAGTTAATAACTCCTGAATACAGTCCGATCTCATTTTATGAACAGGTGAGTTACGTTTAACGGAATAAAAGAGAAAATATGCCAAGAGGATAATTGACAGCCAAATTGACATTTTCTCCAAATAGAGACTGTCATATCTCGCCCACGTTTGGGTCCGATCGTTGACCATTGCGTTTATCTGCGTTGTCCAACTACATCTCGATTACAGTAGGACTAGATCAAATTTCAAAACACAGTAGGTCTATCTAAATAAACAACGCCTCGTTCTACCCCGGTCTAACCCAGATGGGATTCCACACAAAAAGTACTTGTATAACCCTAACTTTACTACATTGTAACATTTGACCCCTTTCCAACAGGCATTGACTCTTCATCCTTTCGGCAATGGGAGTCGTGCCAATTTACATTCATCAGATGGGTGCAGTACATGATAAAGACGACCAGGTGTCAGACTTCTATTTCGTAGTAAATCTTAAATAAATATGAGTATACATAACGATACAATGTACATACAGGCTATTGATCACCAGCAACCAACGTTTGGCGCCATATTAACTTTGCTAAGAAAGTGTAAACCCAAATGTAGTATATGGTACATAGATGTGACATACTGCTTCTTATTGTGCTGTTGACGGATTTTGACAAATTATTATTTATGTATAACATTTGCTTGTCACGATATGGCTGACATACTGCCGATGTGACTGTAAATGTTACCTCATTCACTCACTATTCAACATGAAAAGACATCCACATAAATGTTATACATTTGCATCACCAGACATAATCATATTTCAAGGCACCCAAACAATCGTTCGTTTTACCTTAACTTCTCTATTCACATGGATAATAAGTAATGTTTGATATTTGGCCTACCATTATTATTTTATGTAACAATAATCAAACATCGCTTGTCACATCTCATACCGCACAGATAAAACATTATACTTACTGGCGTCGACACTGTTCGTGACTGATTGAACTGGATATTTAGATACACCTGCAGATAAACCTACGAGATTTATGACTTACATGTGACGGATATGGAAACCAAATAGCAAACAATACCTTGTGTCTGCTTTGACAATAGTATCTGCTGTTATTCATGTATTTGTGTTAAAAGCTCTGTACTCATCAAGTTGTGGATTCAGAATTTCATCGATTTAGAACTACATGGGGATACATTTATACTGTGAATTATTTAAGACATGCTTGAAGAATAATTTGTTTGTTGGTATATGAGATAACTGCGCGATAAATCGCAAAGAACAATAAACAGCGAAGCGTGGTTTATTTCACGATAATGACGTCTTTGTTTGCAGATTCGAACATGCCCTCGCCTGTCGATAACCTTTTCAGGGAAGTGTCTAGTGAGTAGTTCACCATAGATGTAGCTGGGCAATGCTGAAACGATTGCATCCCAAAGTGGAAGACAAATGGCAATCGGTACTGGGAGAGAAGGTACAGATAATCGACGTGAGGATTATGATAATATCCGGGAAATACCGGGAAATACCTTAACTGAAACCCCCTGTTCATAAAAAGGTAGTTGTCCGACATTGTTGGAGGGGGGGGGGGGGGGGGGGGGGGGTATTCAGGGAGTCATCATTATTTAAACACAGTACATATGTGTAAGGCTTGTACACTGTATTAACATCCTCAAAGAGGTTGTACATACTGTAAAAATCTCATGTTAGAAATAAACGACTCGTAGTCGTTGTTTATCGTAAAATTAATTACTGCATGGGGAATATACCACACGGGGCTTCGCCTCTCATGGTTTATTCTCCCTGCAGTCTTTCATTGTACGATAAACAACAACCACGAGTCGTTTATTTCTTAAGTAAGGATCGCGATATGGCTGCTATATTGCCGATGCGATGTAAAATTATAACTCACTCACTCACTCTTAAGTAAGGCGTGACATAAGCAGCATCAGCATCGCCGGACATCTGTGTACGACATGTATTGAGGAATTGTACCCATCATGGGATTCACACTTCGGCTCGTGTTCACTACAGTTGTGGAGGTGAAGAAGGTCTATGGTCAAAGACTGGAAGGACAAACAAATAACCACGTAAAAGTTGTAACAGTTGTATTCTGAAACAAAGTTCACAGTACTGATACAAAATGGAAGGATAATAAGCTTTGAATCGAATAGAGACAAAATAGTATGCTATTACAATGGACTATATTGTGAACGTATCATGTCAATGAGGACAATATTGAAAATAAAGAAACTTTAGTAAAAACTCATTCGAAAAATGATGAAAAGTGGAATTAAAAGTAAACGAAAGCCCCGGTTCTTACTGAAAATGTAGTGTGTATATATGTCTATCGAACTTTAGTTATTGTTGCCTATATACCTATATACTACGATGTGATCAATCCAACGGCATAGATGTGTCAATCAGTTGATTGCACACACATTCCACACTGATTCATTAACACGGCGTTATGCAAACAAAGAGTACAAAACCGAGTGTTCTCTTGTCCTTGGAAACAAAAGCGACTTTCTAAATTTGCTGCGCCATGACGTCCTTTTATCTGCCAGAATCAGATGGTGATGTGAATCCCTCATGTTGATCCTTGGTTTGTACGCAACATACTCACAATCCGACATTCCCAAATGGGAAACGACCTGTATCACTTTGACCTTACGTGACTAATTATTGTCACGCGATGTTTATCTCATTTACCCACTCTCACTGAATTTATTTTTTACAACATAGAATTGTGTTGCATTTGAGCAAATGAGGTGAAGTGAAATGGGGGTTAAAGTCGCATTCAAGAGAATGTCACTTATGCAGCGACGTGCATGCACATGTGTGTGTTTCCGGTGAAGATCCGGGTAGAGTATCGGTCTTCGGCAACCCATGCTTGCCGTAAAAGGCGACTAACGGGATCGGGTGGTTAGGCTCGCTGACTTGGTTTGATGCATGGCATCGTTTCCGAATCGCCTAGCCCGCCTAGCCCAAATGCTCATGATGAAAAGCACTGGATTGTATGGTTCAGACTCGATTATTTACAGACCGCCGTCACATTGGTGGAATATTGCTGAGTGCGGAGACGTGTGTGTGGCTACTAGTACTGGAGTACCAGCCCATCGCGATTTCATTTAACATGGATAGACTTTGTTCTTTCCCTTTAGAGCTGAGCACCAGGCAGGGTAACAAGTACCCTCTTTAGGCCTATTCTGAAATGACGCGACAAGGATATCGAACCTCCCACCTTCTGTTGAGAAAATGAAAACAACGTAATACTCGTCACAACTTGACAGACAAGTTTTAAAAAACAATTACACTTGGATAAAGACATGATACAACGAAATCGTATGCTTTAAAAGTGTTATTCTGAACAGTGCTTGAAAGGGACATATATGCATTATTAGATTATCGATCCCTGCTCGTCAACCATCTTCTTAACTGCTGGCACCTTTAAGTTACAGGGCTGAGGACCTGCATCTCCTGGATACTGCCCCCATGTGGGCTTTATCGGCTTACAAGCCACGCTGTATATTGGTTGTGGGTGATCTTGACTGCTCCTGGCTGACTTCTTGACCTGACTGTACTGTGTTTCTGGCTGAAAACTCTCAGTTAAATCATAAGCTTCCAGGTTCAGTGTCTGCATTTGAGATTCTGGTATCAGTGACAATGTCTGTGTCCTCGGAGTCCTGATTGTCATGTCGTCCCGAGAAGGCAAAGCAGCTGTAAAATAAATATGATCAAGTTGCTTAGACAGACTCCTCAATAATCAATAATTAGATAAACAATATAGGAAAACATTAGGAAAATATCGTCAGTTTATTTCAAATGACAGGTCTACAGCCTCAAAGGACAATGATATGAAAGATGCTCTTTTCAACCCATTTCAGGCATAGTGTACCTAATTCAAATCTGGAAATACTGAGCTCTAATCATTTGATACGTGCCATTTATGTGCACATGTTTGATATTGGTTGTTTCTTCTGCCTCGGGGGAGTGGGCCAATTGTATTTAGCGTCAATGGCAGTTATATGCCACTACAACGCTTCATACGTCATAGAGATTGGACCAGACAAGTTACAACTTTGGAGTACGATTATATGCACCCACAGACCATATTTAGGTGCATATGTTGAGGTGTTGAGATCGTTCATTACCTTGACTTTCCGACTTACGTTGTCCTACCACGCAGCTCCAGATCAGTGCAGTGAGAGTGATTATGACCAGCAGTGCTCCCCCTAGAGAAGCCGTGGCAAGAGGAGGTAGGGATGAATCTGAAACAAGCCGCAGTGTCTCTAGATGTACGTTAGGCTACTGCTTGCTTTACAGTATGTCATACTTTGCGTACAGAACTGTTTGCTGAACCAAATATAGCATCAACAAGCTAAACTATGATGCTTTGCTAAGGTGGTCAACGATCTTTGTGACTTTATTTACTGTATAAAACTATCAATACAAATTTATAAACATTCAACAACGATTACCTTCAGCCATGACATCATTATAGTTGCCACTAGTCCCTGGGCTGCCGGTCGATGAACCTTATATGAAGCAAAACACTGTGGTAAAAATATATTGCTAAGAGTTAACGATACAACTAATGTATTGTTTATCCCTTGTTAATACTTCCATGAAAAACACTAAAACACTAAAACATGATACACATCTATCTGTTGTGCACCTGAATGTGTTAATGAAGCCGTTCATTCAACGTACATCCCCAGCAGCGTGAGTATTTTATTCTTGTGAATTATTATTAGTTTCTTTTTGGACTTCGTAGTTAAATAGTCATGTATTTCTCAAAAGTCATATACGTTTACTGTCGAAATATTGCATGGCCCTTAACGCACAGGAAAATATTAAGGATAACAAGTGTGATATTTTGTATTGATCAATTGTGTACTTCAACAGAATCTCATGCATCAAATTACAACTGTGACCAGTGATCTGGGTTTCGGAGTTTTGTTGACGGAACTATAGGTCAGTATAGAGAAACATATATCTATCATAATATTGTTACGTCCGGCACTCTGATTCTTTTTCCGGATTCGAGATATTTCTCAATCAAATATTTGGATGTTTTATATATCTACCCCCACCAGTAATTAAAGCTGACCAAGATGTTGTCAATATCCCTGTCCTGTATTCTCTTTGAATCATCAGTGAAGCTATTGTGTCCGCATATAATTTCAAGTAAGCGCCATTTAATGCAGAATGCATTGTAATGCAATGCAGTAATAAGATCACGATATTCACACATGCACATGACATGGTTGTTGAGTACCCTATTATTAAGATAAAATATAACGTTACAACAGAAGTCTATGGCAAACGATTTGGTTCTTTGTTCAATCAATCTTTCAATCAATCTTTCTTACAGAAATACTAAAAGGCCATAGGCCTATAGTACGTGTCTTTGTGGATAGTGGATGGACATATTGATTTCTACTTATTTAAGTCACTCATCTTGTCATTTCTACAATCCATCGCATGGAATATATACGCAGTCAAAGGCTTCAGAACATTGATACTTGTAGAAGATATCATTCATTAAACTTAAATATATTTGGAAATTAGTACATTGATGGGTGTAGGTATATAATTCGTAAATTCTGATAAAATGGACAAAAGAGAACAAAATGGTACTCATCTATAATGTACATTATGTATATCTACCTTTCATGTTTATAGTTATATTTATTCCCAAATGTAGATAGTTTGTACCCTGCCCTACGAGGGTGTTCTGTACAATAAAAATTCTTGATTCTTGACTTTTGATTCCTCTATTAGCTGTAGATTACACATTTTACATAATCTAATTCCTTTTGGGATTTTGGAATATCTTCCCGTTTCCATATTTAATTCATGTTATGAGCATCTGAATCTAGAAAATGCAATTCTATATTTGTACAAGAGTGGTTTTAAAAAGATATTCTGCAGTTATAAACTGTGTTTTAAATAAACTCAAGTACTGACATTTTGACGTTAAAGCTAACAAACAATTCCACTTTTGTATGTACGTATCTTAGAGCCTTTGTGTACACAATTTAACAAAATGTTCAGGACAATCTAAATTTTGACTTTGCCAAGCATAACCTGAGCCTAAATCATCACTGAGCTTTTTAACCGACGGAACCCAGTTTTGCTTTCCATTTTTGTCATACAATACCATCATTTCATAACACTTTCTTGGGTATCTATCATATGGCAACCTTAATAACCTTAACCAATACTACATTGGGGGTGTTTATCTTCACTCCTAAATACCTTTTGCATGCATATACATGCACCCTTTCATTCAAATCTAGCTGATGTACACCCCAACCTCAGCCCCATATAGTAGAATTGGCTTTATTTTGTGTAAAAAAATTTAAAATAGATTAAAATTTATACTCTCAATAGATCTGAGACGTTTTTGTACCCTATAAAGACTATTCTTTGCTTGCGTTGCAGCCTGTATTGAATGGAAATTCCAAGATAATTTTATAGAAAAATGTACTCCCAAATATTTATAACTTGTAACTTTCTTTGTAAAACCATTTCTCCCTTTTTGATAACATACCGCCGTTTTTTAACACAATAACTTTGTTCTTTTTTTGTGTTAACACTTAAACCAAATTGTTCACAAAATTGCTCCAGCACATTTATCTGACTTTGAAGTCCGGGTACAGTACTCGGAATCATTACGACATCATCGGGAAACAGAAGCAAAAATATTTTAACACTATCTGGGTGTAGCTGTTTTTTGTTTTTCTTCTGCCAGCACGTTAATAAAGAACGTAAAGAGAAAAGGACTTAATATACATCCTTGTCGAACACTATCTGGGTACAGTACTCGGAATCATTACGACATCATCGGGAAACAGAAGCAAAAATATTTTAACACTATCTGGGTGTAGCTGTTTTTTGTTTTTCTTCTGCCAGCACGTTAATAAAGAACGTAAAGAGAAAAGGACTTAATATACATCCTTGTCGAACACTATCTGGGTACAGTACTCGGAATCATTACGACATCATCGGGAAACAGAAGCAAAAATATTTTAACACTATCTGGGTGTAGCTGTTTTTTGTTTTTCTTCTGCCAGCACGTTAATAAAGAAAGTAGAGAGTGAGTGAGTGAGTGAGTATGGTTTTACGCCGCTTTTAGCAATATTCCAGCAATATCACGGCGGGGGACACCAGAAATGGGCTTCACACATTGTACCCATGTCGGGAATCGAACCCGGGTCTTCGGCGTGACGAGCCAACGCTTTAACCACTAGGCTACCCGACCGCCCCAGAAAGTAAAGAGAAAAGGACTTAATATACATCCTTGTCGAACGCCTACATTGCATTCAAAATCTTCTGAGTACTTGCCATTACTTCTTACAGAAGCCTTTACTTGTTCATAGATACTTGATAACAGTTTCAACATCTTGCTGCTTACTCTTTGTAATTTAAGCAAGGCCCAAAGTTTATCACGGTTAACTGAGTCAAATGCTTTAGAAAAACCTTCAAAAAACGCATCCGTTTTTCCCCCATTTACTTGATAAATAACGTTGAATTAAGGAATGTAACACAAAACTGTTGTCTATAGTTGAGTACCCCTCTCTAAAACCAGCTTGTGTCTCATCTATTTTCTTAAATGATTCAGCCCAAAATACTAATCTTCTATTAATGATATCTAAGAATATTTTACTCAGTATGCTTAATAATGTGATGCCTCTGTAGCTATTGGTATCATTTACATTACCTTTGTTTGTGAAAAGGAATGATAATGCCCACTGACCAATCTTTGGGAAATTGGAATGTTCAAAAATAGCATTATACAACACTTCTAAATATGAGACAATTATATCTGATGAATTCTTAAAAAACTCGGGTATTACGTTGTCAATATCAGGAGACTTTTCTTTTTTCAATCTTTGTATATTTGAAGTGATTTCTTCTCTTGAAATAGGAAAATATAATATGTCAGCTACTAAACTAGCCTATTCACTGTTTATTTCGATGTCTTCCTGCAAATCTTCACTGTTATTGTCAAAAGAAAATAAGTCTCTCAAATGTATATTCCAGGTATCTATGTTTATGTCATTTTTATAAACCTGTCTCTTACCATCCGAGTGTTTGAGAGTAGACCAGAACGTTTCTGGATACTTTATGCTACTTTCTAGTTTTTCTCGCTGTCTCGCCTTGTATTGCCTTTTTTACTTCTGCATGTACTATTATACTTATTTCTAACCTGGTTGTAAATTGATAAGGATTCTGCATCTTTATTTTTTCTATGTATATTAAAGCACCTACATCTTTTCTTTGTGAGGAATTCACACTCAATATCAAACCATTTCTTATCTGTAATACTTCGACTAACTTTCCTTCTCATACACATATATGACTAACACAATCCTTCAACCAAACATTGCACACTCTCATTAATATCAGTTAGTGCCACTCCCATTAGTAGTAGTGGTTTATTTCAGTAAATCAGGCCACAGGCCCATTTTACAATATATATATTCAAGCATTCAAACATGTTGCGCCACAAGTGCATGTAGTAATATCAATACTAATCCGTACAAGGGTATCTGAGACCATATACATATGGTGGTAGAATTAGTAGTTTATATAATGGACAACTGCTTGCTCCTCATTTTAAGAGCAAAAAATGTAAACTTGGCAAGATTATTGATTGTGAAAGCATTACTGGTGGTAAATAAAACCTTACATTTATGCTCTGATGGAGATGTATAATAATAACTTGGCAGAAAGTTTCTTCTAAGATCGTCATAAAACGGACAAACTAAACAAACATGGTATTCTGTTTCTACACTTGGAATGATACAAAATGGACAAAGTCTTTCACACTTTGGAATACCTAACTTTCTACCCTGTGATACCATAAGATCACTGCTCGACGTGCGAAACTGTGAGAGAATAATCCTAGAAGAGTGCCACTTCCATTGATCTGTGAAGTAATTCGTGTACACTATCAGAGTAAAAAAGCATCTTGAAATTGCTCGTTCTTATCATAATCCCACACAAACTTGAACAATCACCTGTATTACTAGGTGTGTCACCTAAATGTCTAGGACATGTGACATCTGCTGATTGTAGGCTGACAGTGACAGGTAGATGCGATGATTCAGCTCTTGGTGTAATAGTAAAATCAGTACAGCAATGAAAAGATTGTGGTCAACATATAACATAATCAATGACACTGGTCCCATTATGATCTACGTACGTAAATTCACCAACATCCGAGTCAGAACCACATCTCCCATTCATTTTGTGAATGGTGGATTCAGTTACTGTTATTGTTGCTACAATGATACTCCCCTACGCGCCAGGTCCACATAGATGTCTTATCCAGTGTTTGAATTTGTGGCAATCGCGATTTGTTTCTGACATGGATTGTTTCAGTGAAATAATAATAGTGACATATTAATGACATTTACTGTGTCTCCCGCAACGAATTACATACCAGTGACTGGCTTGACCACCCTTACTGTCAGGTTATTACTACAATCCTCCTCTAGACCACACCTCCACACAGATCCCTCATCCAGTGTAGAGTTGATGGTGAGGATCACGTTGTGTCGGATCGGGGTTGCATCCACAGAGATACGTCCTGACACAGACCGGAACTCCTCGTGATCAGTGTTCCTGTCAAGCATCTCAAGTGGGAAATTCCTATTTGTTTGAAAAATCCGGACCAGGTTCCTGTACCACAGTGCAGTTCCTATGGTGTGATCGTGTCTACACGATAGAGTACATGGCTCCCCTTCTATAGCTGGTGTAGATGTAAGGCGGTACTTCAACGAAGATGCTGTGTGAAATAAATGAAAGATGTGTGTAGCTATTTGTCTGTACAATAACATATTGCTTGAATACTGTAAGTTCTGTCTAGTATGATATAAAGCAACATATCACAACGTATGTTCTGTCCAATAAAACTAACTTGATTTAGTCACGATATGGCTGAAAAATTGCCGATGTGACTATAAATATTCAATCACTCACTCACTGTCCAATAAATAAGTGTAAGTGCAGAAAATATAATCCATTAATCATATATGTATATATTATATGATATGACTGATTTCTACATACTGTAGCAAGTATTACGCTGCAATGTAATGTAACTAAAATGTTCATGTTACCAATACATATGATATTATCTTTTAATGCATGTGCACAGTGAACAGAATTTGACTGATTACAAGTATAGAATTAACACAGGTCTTGCGAAACCTGTGTGACATGAATTTCCAATATACAAGGTGAGATCATAAGGTACATGGAGGCCACCACGCCTTACGAGTTTGTAACCTTTTCACCAGAAATTCTACCAAGTTCATAAAGCGACAATTTTACACATCACGGATCTACCCCGTGGTTGTACATGATGTTATCTCAGAGTAAAATGAGAAATAACACTGTAGAGAAAACAAAACCAGACATTAACACAATGAAAAGCAACTACCTTATGTAACGCACTATACAAACCATGAACTACCAGAAGGCAAAGACAGAGAGCAGAGACCCAACGACGCCTCACCGACGTCCACCCCATCCTCAAGACCTGTTATTACAAAAGAAAATATGCGAAGACTTCGAAAGATTCAAATACGCTCTCTAATAGTTATTACATTTGATAATATAGTGGAAGTGATTTCTTCGGGTGTATAAACATTAAACATTAAAAAACCAAGATACGGGTGCGTGTCAACAAACACACACACACGCACGCACGCACGCACGCAAGCACGTGCTCATACTCATGTTTGTGACATGTTTACAAATAAAATCTGTTGCAACAGATATATCATGGTTTTCTTTTGGACAAGAATGTTGCAATAACATTGATTTGTTTACAGGAGGACAATCTATTTTATTGTTATTTGAAAGAATGAAATTTTTTTTACTCCGTATCCAGCAATATAACAGCTGTGTCAAGAAGGAGGGGTGTGTGTGTAAATAAAGGCAGACCAGTGTTTGACAGCATATGCAACGATTCTACTTGGGGTGAGCCAGTGAGTGAGTTGGGTTTAACGACGCTTTGGACAGTAGTCCAGTGATATCACGGCGCGGGAGGAAAGTATTCCAGTGATATCACGGAAGGAGGAAAAAATTCCAGTGACATCACGGCGTGAAAGGAAAGTATTCCAGTGATATCAAGGCGTGGGAGGAAAGTATTCCAGTGATATCACGGAAGGAGGGAATTAAAGTATTCCAGTGACATCACGGCGTGGAAGGAAAGTATCCAGTAATATCACGGCGTGGGAGGAAAGTTTTCCAACGAGATCACGGCGTGAGAGGAAAGTATTGCAGTGATATCACGGAAGGAGGAAAGTATTGAAGTGATATCACGGAAGGAGGAAAGTATTGAAGTGATATCACGGAGGGGGGAAAGTATTGCAGTGATATCACGGAAGGAGGAAAGTATTGCAGTGATATCACGGAAGGACGAGTCTTTCAGTGATATCACGGCGTGAGAGGAAAATATTGAAGTGATATCACGGAAAGAGGAAAGTATTGAAGTGATATCACGGAAGGAGGAAAGTATTGAAGGGATATCACGGAAGGAGGAAAGTATTCCAGTGATATCAGGGAAGGAGGAAAGTATTCCAGTGATATCAGGGAAGGAGGAAAGTATTCCAGTGATATCAGGGAAGGAGGAAAGTATTGCAGTGATATCAGGGAAGGAGGAAAGTATTGCAGTGATATCACGGAAGGAGGAAAGCCCGAAATGGTGCACACCTTTACCACTTTGGTGAAACCAACGAGCACGGATATGGTGCTTAAAGACCAAGACACATTATCAGGGCGAGCCGGGATTCCATCCCACGATTATAGGTACATGTGTCTGGCATGTCCAAACGACGCAGCTCTGTACAGCGAATTGCGATACCTTAATTAGACGACTGTGCCATTCGTGCCCTGGAAGCAGAAATAGTTTTACTTTCAACAGGCACCAAGGAACGGGTGGTCTGACTCGGTAAATTGATCTGTTTGCTGTCATCGTATCCCACGGCATGAATCCTTGTTCGTTATATCATTCACAGTATTGTCTGGTCCATACTAAATTATATACATATAGCTTCAATATTACTCAGTGCAGCGTTAAACAAAACATTCCTTACCTTGCGTTGTTGGTGCATCGAAGTGGCAAGACCTGCGACAATCATGCAGTCGAGAACGCGATGTTATTGAACTCCACCAATGTAAAGTGTGCAATTTGTATATAATGTCAACAAATATAATTCCGTACATGACCTTATTATAAGTATTATCATTCATGAATACTGCACACGTGTGAAACTTTCCTTGCTGATATGTTTGAGGGAGCGGTATCTACTTCCTCATATACGATGTGCATATTTACGGGGTAATATCGTTTTCAAAATATCAATTTATGTCATACAATAAATATTGCACAGTGAAACCTCATGCCTTGAAATCTCAGTAAGGTAACCATAATTCCTGAAACAAATTGTTATATGTTTACAGGTGAATCAAAAATCAGATTCAGTCGTATCATTTGTATTGTTATGTGTCATACCAGTGGTGTGCCTTTTAATGTTGTTGGTCACGTCGTTGGTGATGTTTTCACCATAACAAATGTATGCACCCCTTATATGAGACCCCTCTGAGATGTTTCAAATGCCAAATATACGTCCATGGTGTGAATATTTGCACAAAATCTATTTCATTTGTTCAGTGCAGTGATTATTTGTTTCTTTATTTCTTTGTTTAACGCCGCCGCAATCAGCAATTTTCCAGCTGTATGACGGCGGTCTGTAAAAATATCAAGTCTGGAAAGACAATTCAGTAAATGCCATCATGAGCATCGATCTACACGACATTGCAGAGAAAATACTCATGTACCGGGGGCCTGTTCAGGAAATCACATATCTTCTGGAAACAACAAGGAACATTTACATAATTAAGTTCACAAGGACATCAGTGTTGCTGCTGCAAAAACACTTGTCCAAACCCAAGAGCCAAATGAAACTTACGCATCCGTCACTAGGACACCCTCTGACCACTGCGCTGAAATTAAGCTCTTCGCTAATATCCACTTTGTCAATAAACTGCCAAAGAGACTTGACATGGGTGAAAACGGATACTCCTCACCAAATCAAATTGCCTAATAAGTTTGGATCACTAGAGGACATGGGTGTGTCCGAAAATATCCATCATAGGGCACATAGTTTGTCCTCAACAAAATTGCAAGCTAGATGCCTGATCAAACATGAAGTAGGGTAGATTTGATCTATAAACTTATCAGGTACTGAACCTTATCTCAAGTTAAGATACATAAATATAAACTGCACTCACGTCTCACAACGACCCACGCCGTGGGTATGCTACAAACAGGAATGGCGCAATACGAAGTTGCCAGATATTTTATTATTCACCGAAACACAATGTCATCTCTTTGGAGACGTTATCTACAGCAGGGCAACACCCTTGACTTGCCACGGGACGGTTGTCACGCAAACAAGACAACCATATTTGGTTGGTGCACCTACGAAATCGATACCAACCTGCCACATTAGCAACTAGGTTAATTCCGGGTTTGAGACCAATTAGTTGCACAACCGGTTGAGGGAGCAGAAACTCCGCCCCAGCCTCCAGCGACTCGCTCAATTTTGCTTTCACGTCCCCCTCAGGCACGACTAGCTTGGTGCAGACAGCATCTGAGGTTCAGAAGAATAAACTGTTCACAGATGAGTCCAGGCCCCGAGGCTATAAACAAATCAACTCAGTTTCATGCTCAAATTCATGCTCATGCACAAGTTCGTACTAAGTTGAGTTTTGAACTCAAGCAGTGGTTATTAAACATCTTGAGATCTTGAAACATCTAATCTGTCTGTCAAGATGGTCCCTCAGATGTTCAATAGGATTCATATCGGGTGAGTGGGCAGGCCAGGGCAAAACGTCAACGTTCTGCTGGTTTAGAAACTTCCGAGTCAGTCTTGCAGTACGGGATCTGGCATTGTCGTGTTGAAACAATGTCCCCTGCTGTTGGTTTTGTAAGAACAGAAGCACAACTGGCTGCAACACTTGGTTCCCTGTATAATCACCAAATCAGTCTTCTGATCTCCACAAATACCGCCCCACACCATGACACCTCCCCCGCCGAATGGATGGACCTCTCGAATACACGCCGGGGCCAAACGTTCCCCTCTGCGTCGATAAACTCGTTCTCTGCCGTCATTTCGAAACAAATTAAACCGACTTTCATCAGTAAACAGCACTCGACGCCAATTTCTCACTTGCCAGCGTCGAACCTGCCTCGCCAATCACAGTCTCAGGCGTCGATGTTGAGCAGTCAGTGCCATTCCTCGGAAAGAACGATACGCTCGGATTCCAGCAGCACGAAGTCGTCGTAGTACTGTACGTTGGCTAATGGGATGTCCCAACGCTGTTGCTGCCGTCGCCATCACGAACCTGTTTCGCAGGTGAATGAGCCGTATCTGACCGTCTTCCAGTGGTGTTGTCACTCTGGGTCGTCCGGTTCTAGGTCTGTCCTGTGTCCTCCCTGTCTGCCTGTACCGTTGAATCAGCCTGACTACTGTCAATGGTGTACAACCAAACCTTCTGGCAATTTGGACCTGTGTTGCCCCAATTTCGGCCATACCGATGGCTCTCTCTCACTGCTCCTGTGACAGTCGTGGCATTTCTTTTTTGTGCTTTCATCACGTGTGGTTATACCCTGCAGACTTGTATAATACAAGTAATAATATAATATTACCTTTGTATGGATTATTATTTAAAATCATGAAAATAAAAACACATTAGCACGATGCTAATACATGTATTACCTGACATAATACATTGTCTTGTCATTCGCTGAACACACTAAGAGAAGGAAATATATTAGAATTTTATTTTAGTCACACTAACACCCATAATGCTAACAGCAATACTATACTCCCAGGGATGAAGCAGTGTACACAAATCATATTTCTGAAATATGACAAGTCAGTCTCATTATATTTACAGACAACAGGAGCAGCCGCAAATGAATAAGAACACAAGCTGAGGCAACATACGAGAATACGATACAGGACACAGAATGCAACTGGAGATTGAATTGTAAGAAAAAAAGTCAAAAGAAATTAGACATTGAAGTTCAAATGTTGCAGATGAAATCAGTATACTGCCAACTGAAAATGAACGCGGAATTTGGAACTTCCTTAGTGGATTCATGTCAAATAATTATCATCAAAATTACTCAAGATATTGTATCACATAGTTACGTAGAAAAGCATCTTTTTTGTAAGATAGATCCAAATTGATGCATTTCCCCAAGATAACTGTTTAATTTCAATAGTATTCATATACGTTGAAGAGATTTTTTAACATAAAAAAGGAATATCATTTGTGCCCATTTCATTTCAAATGTCAAAGGCAAGAACAAAAAAATAGCAGGTATTAGGTTTTGACAATATTATTTTGGTTCCATAATATTATGATATTATTATTACCAGCTGCAATATGAATGACAACAACATTTACTGATGTGCTCGGACATAATCAGCTGAATTAGACAGAGATACAACAGTTAATGATAATTGAAAGAAATACTGTTACACAATATCAACTGTATCCATGTTGTTTTCAGAGATGATAACAATTCTATTATATGTTTGTACATTGAGAAATACTAAGGTAATGAATGGTAGAAGAATATCAGTGTTGCTTTATCGTTATTCATGACATATGCGCTTGCTCCAAGTTTTTGTAAATTGCTTTAAAGTAAGATCATTTTGCAAGATCAAGCATGTGATGCCTCAGCTTAACAGGCAAAAAAGGCATTAATATATTGATATAAGGTATTATTATATTGCACCTACAAATTCTTATGACAGCCTGAAAAATATCTGTCATCAGTTAAGACTGTCGATTTGAGAAGAGCTCAAACATAATTTAGATGTTGTTCGATTGATTTTGAAAGACAAATATAGAATGTCTAGTGATCATGACTTAGTTATCGTTTATGCATTTGTAGAACAGGCTTAGATGATGAATACCAAGCACTATTCGTATGTCCGGCTTCTGCAAATGAAAATGCCCGGGAAAATAGCGTTATCCATTTATTATGAATATCCTACCATGCATAAGTTTTGTATCGTTACTTACAAAAAACGACAGCATTTTATTCCAGCTAGCTCTTTATCTTGTTCAGATTTAGAAATTTAAAAAACAATATAAATTGAAGCGCTCTGTCACAACGTGCAGCGTTAGGAATTTGCCCTAGTCATGTAGTCATTGCCAAACTGCCCAATAGTTAAGGAATCATAAGAACTTGTAGAACATTGCCACTGTTAAGGGTTTTGCTAGATGTATATCATTGTAAGGACTAGTGGACTAAAAATGTGATTTTCTTCTAACTGAATGTACCCTATTTTATCAATCATCTGCACTCTTTGCATGGCCAGACTATACGGAATAAATAGTGTTCTGTTTCAGCACTGCCTGTATCTGAATAAAAAATAGAATGAACAAATTGATTCTGTATTCAAGTCTAACTGTCATGACATATCTGACCTAGTGAGCAACACCACTCACACGAGTGGTCTAAATCAATACCGTTCAAAATCTTCAGGAGCGGTCGGGTAGCCTCGTGGTTAAAGCGTTAGCTCGTCACGCCGAAGACCCGGGTTCGATTCACGACATGGGTACTATGTGTGAAGCCCATTTCTGGTGTCCCCCGCCGTGATATTGCTGGAATATTGCTTAAAAAAGCGGCGTAAAACCATACTCACTCACTCACTCACTCACTCACTCAAAATCTTCATCAACATCTAGATCTTCCAGCGAGTTGTAACGATCGCGAAACACTCTCGGAACACGGGCTTTCCGCTTTCCTTGTCGAGACTGACGCAGGTGAGCTGCCATTGTTGATATCGAACTCAGCGTTGAGCACGGTCCAAAGCGTACTTGAGATCATAGTAGTTCCTGCTCAAGTTGAGCACGGAAACGTACTCAGATAACTTATAACCTCCGTTTATACAATGTTGTTCTTTCACATTCAAAGACGGGAAAACACTCTGTGTCGGTGAAAATATGAATTGTGCTTCGAAAAGTTTGATTTATGTCACACAGTGTGCTGAATGCAAGGTTGAATACATTGGACAGACAGGGGATACCCTAAGGGCGAGGCTGAAGGTCCTCCGACAACAAATAAGGGACCCCCTATTGCCGTTGTATCCCACTCGGTCAACACATTTATCAGTGTGCTGGGAATAAAACACCATATTTTGTGATATTCCCGATTTACAAATGTGACAATGACACAACAGTCTCTCTCTTCTACAGGTATATATGTATCAAATATAGTAAAAATAGGGCTTGTCAAAACTCCTTTATCCACACTTGTCAAAACTCTTTATCCACTGTGAGTTTTGACAAACACGAAAATCTTGACTCTGTATATATATATATTAGATAGATAGACAGATAGACAGACGGACGGACGGACAGACAGACAGACAGATAAATGCTCTTGGTACCACACAATTAATTCATAAATGCAAAATGTTTTATTCAAAATAATCATTCTTTACAAGTCCTGTCATCATAAGGAAGCAAAAAATCGAACGAGCAATCTATCCTCTTTATTTCATATAACCATTTTCAATTATCTATTTTTCAGTTACTGTATTAAAGCGTATGTCAAACCAATTAGACTATTACCTATTATCAGGTAACCCAAAATGATCACCCACACCATCTCCAACAAATACACGTAATGTTGTTGCATAACGTCAGTACGGAAAACAAAACTAATATATTTAACACTACTTGACTTATTCCAGTAACGTCTGTGACATCTTGCTTTTTTGATACAGTTAGTGAACAGAATTTAACGTTGCCTCGGACAGAATTTCCACAACATGTATACCACGGTCTCAGTTTGATGTGGGGGTTGATGACTTTCACCTCTTGTGTGAAGCCCCCAACAGCTCGGGTATGGTGCTGACAAAACAATTATTATCAGACCGATTCCCATGATCAACGTGGCGCGACCTGCACACTCAGCTAACTTATTTTATACAAATCGAAGTTACTTAATAAGGACAGCAAGCTGTAACCAATTTCATAAGCATCGATGACACTTTAATGATTGGCGACCACGCCTGACTGCAACATTAGGATATATCGGGATGGTCCCGGACCCACACAGGACTCTCATAGGTAGCTTCGTCGTCGACAGCGTTGATGTAGATGTCACTGTGCATCTCCATGGCGTCTCTGTATATCGGCTCTATGAGAGACACTGGCCTGATGCTGGCGAGGTCGGAGTAGTCACCGCTGTCATGATGATCGCCATAGGTCGTCAAGTTGTACTCGTTGTTTTCTACTGTGCTGGCTTTTTTATCTGAAAGTGTCATTTATTAGGATTTGTTTCACCGAGAGTTGGCACCGAGAGGTATGCGTGGATTGATTGAGGGGTCGTTGTTCAATGATGAAAGTCTGAGCAACTCGTAAACATACGCACATAACTTACTAGTGACTAAAGGCATGAGCAGGGCCACGCCATGGAATAATGATGACACGCACCATGACTGACCACCCTCTCTTAATATGTCAGGCAGAATTCCCTTCAGTGTCGAAACGTATTGTACACATATTGTGACGTAGAGAACATATTAACATCAGGATGGAAGACGTACAAACCACTTAGTATTAACACTCTCTAAAATGAGTAGGGGATCATGTATGATATATTTTCCATCGGTCTTCAGAAGAAAGATCAGCTTTGGAAAATGACAGCCAGTGAACCAAACCAAACGCCCCAACACACCCGAAACGTTGTTCCTGGACCCTGCAATGCATCCATGCTCATGGGTTAGGGGACATTATTGAGTTTGACACTTCAGTAGAAGGTCGTCAAATCGCTCTGAGCCATTGGTCATGAGTTTCATTATCCCCAGTAACACGTATACTTCTCTTCATCTACTGTAGTATTTGTTATCAGATTGGGAATGCATCGCCTACAACGTGACGAACAATAACGGGATATGGGCATGCTTCAAACTGGTAGAACTCGGCGAGAGGTAGTCAGTGCGTTCGATGTGTCTCAGTCTGTCCTTAACAGACTTTGGAACAGGTTTCTGCAGACACACAGTTTTAATGATAGGCACCGCACATTTCGCCCAAGCTCAACAACACAAGTCAAGGATAGATTAATCAGAAATCGAGCCTAAACAGCCAATCAAATGTCTGTTCGGTTGCGCCATGCCACCAGAAGGCAAGTTAATAACCAAACAACAAGAATTCATCTGCATGCAGCTACTCTGCATGCTCGACCATTACGTCATGTACCACCGTCAACGAATCGACACATTCTCTCCAGACGCCAATGGGCGTAGAAACTCGGGGTGTATCCGATAGTTTCGTATAATGTTTCCAGATTCACTCTGGACCTTCTGGAAAATCGTGGACGTGTCTAGGAGGTGTCGTAACGAGCGCCATGCGAACGTCAACGTCAGGCAACACGACAGAGTTGGGGTTGGGTCTGAAATGATAAGGGGCGGGATCACTGTGACTGTCGGAGCGCCACTGCACTTCCACAGAAGGATCACTGGACCGAACTACCGAGACAACATGCTGGCGACACTGGTTTCCGCGCAATGCTGATCCACGTTTTGTCTTTCAGTACGACAACGTTCGTGCCCACCTTGACTGACTACCTCCAGCAGCAAACTAATTAAGAGTCCTGAGCATTCCCTATAAAGCATGATTTGGAGACGTGTACGCCGACGTTAGAGGCCTCTCGCTTCATCAGCCGAACTGGTCCAGACGCTATAAGAGGAATGGAAAGACACCCCCAAATTGTCATTGGGAGATTGATTCGGACCATGCTTCGTGGTATAAACGAATGTTTGAACAATCGTGTCACCCATTTTTTGTCAAGTCACCTCAAATATTAATTATTTTGACACTTGTGTCGTATTGCTTAGTTATTTACACCCTTACAATACATCTCCAACGTGTTCTATTGATTGTCATGTTACACCTAGCCCTTCCTTTTCTTACCCACATATTACCACAACTCGACACCTCTCTGTATTTCTGTGTTATTCTGTTATTTTGTAATACCCCTTTATTGTTTGGGGAGTATATAGTTTCAATTTGAATGATTTCATTCACCTTTGGTTTTTTGCTTCCTTGTTGCGATCACTCGGTACCAGATCAGAACATTGACAGCAACGGCGATGACGAGTGTCGCTCCAACACCAGCAGCTACTGGGACGAGGACTGGTTCTGAAAATAAACCCACTGTAACAAATTGTCTCAATGGTGTACTTGACTAGAAGCGATGTCATGCAGAAATGAATATTAACTTAAATCAGATGCAACATAGAACTAGGATTTGTGTTAGTGGTTTTTTGAAGCTGTAGTACCATTGAAGGCACGGCCGATTTATAAATAAAGGCGTTGAAACAGATTTCTTTTATATATTCAACAATTTTAAATTTATTCTCCAATATGTACCTAACAAAATATCCGATTGCTATATCATCTTTGTCGGGGAATGTTATGACCTAACACGGTCCAGTTACGTTATCTAACGTGGAAAGTAGTTCAAGTCTTGAACTAGTGTGAATCATGTTAACTAGGTCTTGGTGATGCTGTCACTGATATGAACTAAAATCAGAAAGCGCTACTTACTACAAAAGGTGTCATCGCGAGCGCACTGTACTGGTGTTGTCGCAGTTGGAAGGGCAGTCGGAGTTCTGGTGGTGGATTCACCTGAACAGTGAGTGAGTGAGTGAGTGAGTGAGTGAGAGTGAAGTGGGGACATAGCTACATTAAACAGTATTTATATATTTCTAAAAGGTAAACATTGTTATCGATATAACACATGATCCTTATTTCACAGGGATATACTGAGGTTAACAAGTGTGATACTTGTGTACTAAACGCCCGTGTTGCTGATCGATTCTGTGCCTCAACAGGAAACAAGCATCCAATTGCAACTTTTATCTGTGATCAGCATTTCTTTCCATTTCCTGCAATTTTCATGTTAATTTTGTTTTTCTAGTTAATCACAAGAATTATACTTTCTATTTCCTTTCTTGTCATTACACGCTTTTAAGGTGTGTCGAACTATAGTAGTCACGAAATATGTGAACATTATAAAATGCAAATTTTTTAAAATATGGACAGTTGATTTTATGAGTATTATCATTAAACAAGCAAGGGTATCTCGCTTATGAATGTACGAGTTGAGGTGAGGTGATGTGAGGTGAAATGGGGTTTAAAGTCGCGTTCAAGAATATTGCACTTACGTGCATGCATGTGTGTGTGTGGCTGAATCTACAAGTCCGCATTAATGCCGATGTTATAGTGCTAGCCCACTGAGATACCAGGCCGCAGTTTAACATGAATACCCCACTCAGACACAGAAAACTGACACCGAGCCGACCAGTCCTTGTTTTATCCCCTCAATGCCGAGCGCCAGACCGGGAAATCCATGAATGTAGGTATAGCATCATGCTCTGTCAAGTAGTCTTCTGGTGCCACTACACTAAGGCTGAACCAGCTCTGACGCCCGCCGGGCTTACAGAGAAGAATAAACTAGCCATTATGATTGTATTAAGTATTGTATTGGGTTTAAGATTTGGATATTTTGTATATCGACCCCTACCCAGTAATTAGGTCGTCATTTAATGCAGAACTGTGGAATGCGTGTTTAGCATCTAGAGGAGCAATCAATGTATTGTAATGTTTTGGAGTAATACGATCAAGATGTCCACACATGCACATGACATAGTACATCAAGATGATTACTTAATTAGTCAGTATAGTTTCAGGTTTACGTGGACTTAAGTAAGAGGGTATGAGTAACCCTCTGGCATGTATGTTGAGTCTGCTGCATGTGATACCTTATAAAAAGTGAATGTCGTACCACGTGTGGAATCAGTTACCGTTAATGTCAGGTTGATGATATCATACTCCCCTACACTCCACATAGATCCCGTATTAAGTGTCTGAAATTATTGAAATCGCGATTTGTTGGAGACATTGATTTTGTCAGTGAAATAATACTAGTGACATACACATTTACTTGGTCTCCCGCAACGAATTACATACCAGTGACTGGCTTGACCACCCTTACTGTCAGGTTATCACTAGAATCCTCCCCTAGACCACACCTCCACACAGATCCCTCATCCAGTGTAGAGTTGATGGTGAGGATCACGTTGTGTCGGATCAGAGTTGCATGCACAGAGATACGTCCTGACACAGACCGGAACTCCTCGTGATCAGTGTTCTTTTCAAGCATCTCAAACTGGTAATTCCTATTTGTTTGAAAAATCCGGACCCAGTTCCTGTACCACAATGCAGTTCCTATGGTATGATCTTGTCTACACGACAGAGTAAATGGCTGCCCTTCTATAGCTGGTGTAGATGTAAGGTGGTACTTCAACGAAGATGCTGTGTGAAATAAATGAAAGATGTGTGTAGCTATTTGTCTGTACAATGACATATTACTTGAATACTGTAAGTACTGTCTAGTGTGATATATAAGCAACATATCACAACGTATGTGCTTTCCATTAAATCAGTTTATGTGAAGGAAATTAAATACATAAATCATATATCTATATATTATATGACATGGCTGATCCTACATACTGTAGCATCTGTAGTCTGTAACATAATGTAACTAAAAGTTTCATGTTACCCACACATATTTGGCCGATTGCAAGTGTAGAATTAACACAGCATATATTCATTCAAAACCTCAGTGAGATGAATTCTCAATATACGAGTCAGATCACATGGTATGTGGAAGCGCCTACGCCTTAGAAGTATGCTACTTATTCACCAGTAATTCTACCAAGGCCATGAAGCGACAAGTTCTAAGAGCATGCAACATTAAGATAAAACCATGTATTTCTTGAATCTATTGATAGGCCGTGTTCTGCTGTTAGAGATCGGCGGTCCGCCATTGACCCTTATAACAATTTACACTGACTCAGATTAATTGGCAGCAGCTTAAATATTCAAAAAGCATCTTTTACAAAAAACAATTGTCGACTATGATGCTTTTTGGCTTCCGATGAAGTGAGCTATGAACCGACTTTTATTTTCCGCATCTCGGATCTACCCAGTTCATTATATATCATGTTTTCGCATAGTAAAATCAGAAATATTATTATCTTATTTGCTTCTTGTTATTGGCTAAGTGCACATAGCAAACTTCGGAAATAATGTATGGTGAAGTGTACGTTTTGTTTACTGGGATGTAACGCACTATACAAACCATGAACGACCAGAAGGTGAAGACAGAGAGCAGAGACCCAACGACGCCTCGCCGACGTCCATCCCATCCTCAAGACCTGTCTGTTATTGCAAAAGAAAATATTCGAAAGATACAAATATGCTCTATGCTAGTTATTACATTTGATAATCTGATGCAAGTTCACTGCGTGTCATCGTACCCCACGGCGGGAATTGTTGTTCATCATTTTAATCATTGGATTGTCGGGTCCACACTGGATTATTTACAGACCGTCCTCATGACGCTTCGGTATTGCTGAGTGCAGCGTGAAACAAAAACACCTTACCCTCAGTTATAGCGGCATCGAAGCGGCCAGACAGGCATACTACAACCGTCCAGTTGAGAACGCTGCTAGATTTAACTCCTCCAATGTACAATGCGCAATTATCATGTAATCTCGACACTATTTAAGCTTTGTACTTGACTTTATCGGTAGTTTATAATGCATGAATACTGCACAATGCTAATTGTAAAAGTGAAACTTTCCTCGTTGATATGTTTGAAGCAGCGTGGGATTTCTTCCTCTTATACGATATGGATATTCACATGGTAATATTTTTTCACATTTATGTCACTTTACATTGAATAAACAAAATTTAAGACAAATTTTACTCACTGGTGTAAATCCAATCTGTTGAAGTTTCGCAATGTCAAGGTCAATTTAGTTCTGCACATGACGAGTCCCGTGCTAACCTTGGCGTGTCAACTTAGGAATCCCCTCGGACCACTTACACAAAGATAAATGTAACCACGTCGTGGGGGACGCGCTTTCGTCACCTTGTCTATGGGGTCCCTTACACATGTATCTCAGTAATGGGAGAGAGCACAATGGTAGTAATCATTTGTCACATATTGTATGTGCTATTCTAATATTCCTGAACTTACGTGTCTACCGTTTCTACACAGGTAAATTTATATATGTGTACCCAACCAATTACTGAATCATATACTGTAGGTTTTTTCCTTGGAGTCTGTTCCCTTTAATCGTGGAACTTGAGAAACTTGAAGGTGTGGACAATTTGTTTGGGAGGCTTGGTATGAACGCCAAGGAAGGGTTTTTCAGCCTTGTCCCTTGATAACAGAAGAGTCTGCAGAGAGGTATCTGTGGCTTATCATCAATTCCCAACGTCGATTCCCTGTTGTGGAGATGGTTGAGGAAGGGAGGTTCTTGTGACCTTTGGAAGTACGAGGATGACTTCCAAATCCAAACCCAGTACTTCAGATGTGATGCACCAAGTGCACATAAGCATATACACAACCTGCCATTCAACTTGTACGAATGTGTGTATATGTTACAGGAAACAAGTATAATCAGTGATTAAGTCTAATGACTGAAAATTTCAGTGATTATGTCTAATAACTGATTCACTCGGTGGTTATGTCTAATTACTGAAATCTTCAGTAATTAGACATAATCACTGAAATGAACCAAGGGATTTTATACTTGTTTACTGAAAGCATATTCCTGCCTTGTTTTTATAATGTGTGCTAGTTTTGAAATTAGATTAGCTATCAAAGTAAATACAACCTCCTGTAAGCAGATACCTTACACAAAAATCACAGAAATAAACTTAAACAGTTCAATCTTTTATTTCATAAAATGGTATGACGTGAATGGTATGACATGAATGGTATGACAAAGATGAGAGACTTGAATGACATTTAGAATTACATTGCATCTTGGCCTTAAAACATTTTCCTCATACATCTTGTACAGTGCATCTCTGAAGGTATCGTGAGGCTCCATGAGTCAAAGTGTGAGGTATCTGCTTACTTACTTACTTACTTACTTTTGTGATTTAACGTGCGCTTTCCGACTGATGCGTATTTCGCACACGGGAGGTATCTGGTCAAGGTGAACCATTTATATGTGTTTGCCTGATTGGCTTAGGACAGGATTATGAAGCCTTCTCACAAGTTATTATAAAAAGGCAGGAATATGCTTTCAGTAAACAAGTATAAAATCCCTTGGTTCATTTCAGTGATTATGTCTAATTACTAAAGATTTCAGTAATTAGACATAACCACCGAGTGAATCAGTTATTAGACATAATCACTGAAATTTCCAGTTATTAGACTTAATCACTGATTATACTTGTTTCCTGTAACATATATACGTATGGGTTGTACATTATATGTTTATTTGCTTGATATGCTAGCTAGTAATTCGTATTTCGCAACTGTTTTCTGTGTGGTGTACGAATAATATGTTTCATCAATCTCGTATTGTATGATGCTACACAGTGGTGTTTGCGACAGCTGGTCATGGATGGGTGGACGCTCCCCTGTCACCCACATTGTACTATGTTTGTAGACTGTTTCGATATCATATCATGTGTTGATATACAAGTCTTTATGTTAACAGTCCTTTTGTTTATCACGTGTAAACATGTAATTATGTAAAGTCACCTGTGTTATATAAGCATTATATATATAAGGTCACAGACAGGCATATTTATGTACTTAGGTAATGAAGATGAAATACATGTATGTTTACCGGTGTGACTTGATATGAGCTACAGGCTGTGGTAATTACAATTACAGAGTGTCTTCTACCATTATCTCCAAAGAGACGAAACAAACAGATATCACACTCACACCCGTAGGCTGTGGTTACTTTTGACTATTACACCACGGTGTCATGGCTGCAACACTAGTTTGGGCTGCCGCCTGAAACGGTGTCTAGCCGGGAGAGCCACATTTCAGAAATGGCTATTGCCGGTAGAGCCACATTTTCAGCTGAGTGCATTTCACCTATTCTAGCGGGTAATTAATTAATCCGATTACCGATACCTTTAAATGAGTGTCCAACATTTAAATTACTAAGCGTGGTGTTCTTTAGAGATACCTTTAAATGAGTGTCCCACATTTAAATTACTAAGCGTGGTGTTCTTTAGAGATACCTTTAAATGAGTGTCCCACATTTAAATACCAGCCCTGAAGTCTCTCACCACTATCCTCTACCGCCAGAGACACAAGACCTTGCCCCGCCTTCTATATTCGAAATGTGGCTTTGCCGGCCTGTAACCCCTGAAACAACTCACATCAGAGATCACAGAGCACTAGACCCTCCCCATTAAGAGAGATGATGAAAGACTGAGGAACTCAATCACTCAGTCAAACGTAAGCGTTTCATCACTGTATTGATGAACTGTCATGTCACACAGGGCTCTGTTTTGAGACATGTGTTTGTATTTACTGTTGTAGAACACAAGCCTCCAAAACATACCTACTCTCACGACATTACTTCAGTGCTGCCAGTGCAGAGTGTTGTCGAAGTCGTGTTCTCTTTATGGTATTCTGTGATTGAGGGTGGACTAAAATACGAGCTTTACGAGAAACACACCACATGAAAATGCCATGCCTTGGAATCAGATCTTCAGAAGAAATCTTCCATAGAGGCTACACTACACCCCCCGATATGCTGTGACAGGAAATACAACAAAAGGTGATACGAAGTTTAACATTAGAGAACACACATGCATGCTTGTGTTTGGTACATTTAACAACAGCAGTGATGGAAATAGCAGGCCAGACGTTACCCGAGCAAGGGATCGTGCCAGACGAACGCCCACCTTTGTGGGTGGCAGGCTTTAGAAACAGCGTCCTGTCATGGGTATGTTCATGTCTCTGGTCCCCACCCAGTGTGTGCTCTGACGTCATTCCCTGTAGTCAATGCGGTGACCAGCACATCCGTTGTACATATTGGACACAACCGTTGTCTTAACTAGTGATGCAATTACCAATAGTCACGCGGCTTAATCAGCTTGTTGAATGATTTTAAAATGGACTTTCCCAATGCTAGTATTCACAACACTATTGATGATGGTAAGATTGAATAAAGACTAGATGAAGTCTTGGACAGGCATTTAGAAGTTGGAAGAGCGTGAATATATGTGTATTTTGTGGATAACGCCTATATTCTTTGCAACAACGTTTCAGTGCTACTCATTGCCCCGTCATCAGGTGCATTAGCCCTGAAACGCCCTAAACACAGAAGTTGTCCAAAACGAAAAGTGTCGTGTATTCAGATAATGGATTGACATATGCATACATACAGTCATATGCTTTACGGTCAGTGTTATTTGATATAAGGCTTTTATTCATGCTTACATGAAGATAGATTGTAGCTGAGAATGGTGTCATTGGCTTGTAGAAATTGTTGGGATGTTTTATTTGTCGGTGTCATGGTTCCTGGAGAATGATTTCACTAGGTTGTATATTCGTAGGCATTTTCAGAGGAGGATCTGAGTAACATGGTGAGAAGAAAGATTTTCACAGAACATACACAGTAATTGGTAACTGAAATAATCAAGTCGGGGAAAGGATTCAGCAATGATCCAGAGAGTCGGGGCACCATGACACACAATCCCACAGGACACAATGTAACAACCCGGGGGAAGGGATTCAGCAATGATCCAGAGAGTCGGGGCACCATGACACACAATCCCACATGACACAATGTAACAACCCGGGGGAAGGGATTTAGCAATGATCCAGAGAGTCGGGGCACCATGACACACAATCCCACATGACACAATGTAACAACCCGGGGGAAGGGATTCAGCAATGATCCAGAGAGTCGGGGCACTATGACACACAATCCCACATGACCCAATGTAACAACCCGGGGGAAGGGATTCAGCAATGATCCAGAGAGTCGGGGCACCATGACACACAATCCCACATGACACAATGTAACAACCCGGGGGAAGGGATTTAGCAATGATCCAGAGAGTCGGGGCACCATGACACACAATCCCACATGACACAATGTAACAGCCCGGGGGAAGGGATTCAGCAATGATCCAGAGAGTCGGGGCACTATGACACACAATCCCACATGACCCAATGTAACAACCCGGGGGAAGGGATTCAGCAATGATCCAGAGAGTCGGGGCACCATGACACACAATCCCACATGACACAATGTAACAACCCGGGGGAAGGGATTCAGCAATGATCCAGAGAGTCGGGGCACCATGACACACAATCCCACATGACACAATGTAACAACCCGGGGGAAGGGATTCAGCAATGATCCAGAGAGTCGGGGCACCATGACACACAATCCCACAGGACACAATGTAACAACCCGGGGGAAGGGATTTAGCAATGATCCAGAGAGTCGGGGCACCATGACACACAATCCCACATGACACAATGTAACAACCCGGGGGAAGGGATTTAGCAATGATCCAGAGAGTCGGGGCACTATGACACACAATCCCACATGACCCAATGTAACAACCCGGGGGAAGGGATTCAGCAATGATCCAGAGAGTCGGGGCACCATGACACACAATCCTACATGACACAATGTAACAACCCGGGGGAAGGGATTCAGCAATGATCCAGAGAGTCGGGGCACCATGACACACAATCCCACATGACACAATGTAACAACCCGGGGGAAGGGATTCAGCAATGATCCAGAGAGTCGGGGCACCATGACACACAATCCCACATGACCCAATGTAACAACCCGGGGGAAGGGATTCAGCAATGATCCAGAGAGTCGGGGCACCATGACACACAATCCCACAGGACACAATGTAACAACCCGGGGGAAGGGATTTAGCAATGATCCAGAGAGTCGGGGCACCATGACACACAATCCCACATGACACAATGTAACAACCCGGGGGAAGGGATTCAGCAATGATCCAGAGAGTCGGGGCACTATGACACACAATCCCACATGACCCAATGTAACAACCCGGGGGAAGGGATTCAGCAATGATCCAGAGAGTCGGGGCACCATGACACACAATCCCACATGACACAATGTAACAACCCGGGGGAAGGGATTCAGCAATGATCCAGAGAGTCGGGGCACCATGACACACAATCCCACATGACACAATGTAACAACTCGGGGGAAGGGATTCAGCAATGATCCAGAGAGTCGGGGCACCATGACACACAATCCCACAGGACACAATGTAACAACCCGGGGGAAGGGATTCAGCAATGATCCAGAGAGTCGGGGCACTATGACACACAATCCCACATGACCCAATGTAACAACCCGGGGGAAGGGATTTAGCAATGATCCAGAGAGTCGGGGCACCATGACACACAATCCCACATGACACAATGTAACAACCCGGGGGAAGGGATTCAGCAATGATCCAGAGAGTCGGGGCACCATGACACACAATCCCACATGACACAATGTAACAACCCGGGGGAAGGGATTCAGCAATGATCCAGAGAGTCGGGGCACTATGACACACAATCCCACATGACCCAATGTAACAACCCGGGGGAAGGGATTCAGCAATGATCCAGAGAGTCGGGGCACTATGACACACAATCCCACATGACCCAATGTAACAACCCGGGGGAAGGGATTCAGCAATGATCCAGAGAGTCGGGGCACCATGACACACAATCCCACATGACACAATGTAACAACCCGGGGGAAGGGATTCAGCAATGATCCAGAGAGTCGGGGCACTATGACACACAATCCCACATGACCCAATGTAACAACCCGGGGGAAGGGATTCAGCAATGATCCAGAGAGTCGGGGCACTATGACACACAATCCCACATGACCCAATGTAACAACCCGGGGGAAGGGATTCAGCAATGATCCAGAGAGTCGGGGCACTATGACACACAATCCCACATGACACAATGTAACAACCCGGGGGAAGGGATTCAGCAATGATCCAGAGAGTCGGGGCACCATGACACACAATCCCACATGACCCAATGTAACAACCCGGGGGAAGGGATTCAGCAATGATCCAGAGAGTCGGGGCACCATGACACACAATCCCACATGACACAATGTAACAACCCGGGGGAAGGGATTCAGCAATGATCCAGAGAGTCGGGGCACCATGACACACAATCCCACAGGACACAATGTAACAACCCGGGGGAAGGGATTCAGCAATGATCCAGAGAGTCGGGGCACCATGACACACAATCCCACATGACCCAATGTAACAACCCGGGGGAAGGGATTCAGCAATGATCCAGAGAGTCGGGGCACCATGACACACAATCCCACATGACACAATGTAACAACCCGGGGGAAGGGATTCAGCAATGATCCAGAGAGTCGGGGCACCATGACACACAATCCCACAGGACACAATGTAACAACCCGGGGGAAGGGATTCAGCAATGATCCAGAGAGTCGGGGCACTATGACACACAATCCCACATGACCCAATGTAACAACCCGGGGGAAGGGATTCAGCAATGATCCAGAGAGTCGGGGCACTATGACACACAATCCCACATGACCCAATGTAACAACCCGGGGGAAGGGATTCAGCAATGATCCAGAGAGTCGGGGCACCATGACACACAATCCCACAGGACACAATGTAACAACCCGATCATCCATTCTCGAGTCTTGGGGGCACACTGGGGGCATATTCTGACGTCATATCCCTTTCGTTATTGAACATAGTGTCATCCATTCTTCCTGACGTCACAAAAGCTCTGGACATTACACAATGTATTCATTAATGTAAATGTGCTATTTATAGTAATCATTCTTGGAAAGACCTGTCGTGATGAGGAATCAGAACACAAAGAATTACGAGTAATGTATGCTCTTTATTTCATACAACCAATTTGAATTAACAAAAACATATATTTGGATACTGTAATAAAAGCATATGTTAAATAAACTAATTATTCGACTATGACATACATGTATTACGACGTCGCCTACACCATCTCAAACAATAACCCTTAATGAAGTGGTAAAACGAGTTCTACGGAAAAAAAATAAATACCAAAATCATAGCCTCTTCCAAGTTCCTACTCAAATCCTGAGATATATTTGTTCTCCCGCCTTAAATTAAAACCATCATTCCGCGATAATATTGCGGGAATGATGCTTAGACCTACGTAAATCCCTATCAAATATGAAAATATTTGTCATTCACTTTTAGTGTGACGATAAACAGTATCTGATGGTGTGTGTGTTGTGTCCAGTGACATGCAGGGCCTCGACACCGAGTCTTCAGCCTGATGAGCTGACGCTGCCACACCTTCCTGTAACATGTCGGGATGGTTGCTGGGCACTGCAGTGTCCTCGTAGGTAGCTTCGTCGTCGACAGCGTGGATGTAAAGGTCACTGTGCATCTCCATGGCGTCTCTGTACATTGGTTCAATGAGAGACACCGGTCTGATGCCGACGAGGTCGGTGTAGATGCCGCTGTCATGGTTACATCCGTTAGGCGTCAAATTGTAATCGTTTTCTTCTGTGCTTGGTTCTACATCTGGAAGTACATTGTCAGTGACCTGTGTTTAGACTGACTGAATGAAATGGGCTTCACACATTGTACCCATGTCGGGAATCGAACCCGGGTCTTCGGCGTGACAAGCGAAAGCTTTAACCACTAGGCTACCCGACCGTCCCCTGTGTTTACAGGTGTTTCAGAATTGTACTTCACACAGTGAAATATACGTACCATAAACGGCAGATAGGATTGTGTTTCTAAATAACACTGACTTCATATTTTTCCCTTCGGTATACCTCGGATAGGAATAGGTTCTTAATGACAACGATTTCCTAGGGTCATGATTCATCAACATCAACAGCAACTCATTTATGGCTTTGACTACTAGTGTAACTATCTATATATTGCCCTAGTGAACAGTGGTGGCTTGACATTGATAATTATGAACAAGGAACTCCATTTGAGCGATTGAATATCCTCCTGCACCCCATCACCTTCAGTCACCTGTAAATACCACAGGAATCACCACCGCTGTCGGGACATACTGTACCTGTATTGTGAGGGTGCATTAGCTGAGGACATATGTTATAGAACCTATTAAAGTTAGGATGAACGCCATACAAACCACACAGTGTTGAATGGAGAATTCTAATATACTAATTTAAGTTCCATTTCAATGATTTCATTCACCTTTGGTTTTCTGCCTGTGTGTTCCCATCACTCGGTACCAGATGAGGACATTGACAGCAACGGCGATGACGAGCACAGCTCCAACACCAGCAGCTACTGGGGCGAGGATTGAATCTGAAACACCACCAACAGGAACATGTGTCTTCATGTGGTACTGGACTTGGAGCGATGTCATGCAGAAACTCTTACCCGAATCAGATACCTCATCTCAACACAGAAATATTTAGAAGCTGTAGTGTCATTGAAGACACGGCCGTTTTATAAAATCGCATTTTAAGAATAAAAAAAAAATAATGTCTTTTTTAATTACAATCATATTAAATTTATTATTCCCTATCTACCAAAACGTATGAGGGCTTTACCATACTGTCTGGTATCCCTACCTGAATGTAATGACCCAATGGCCTAGTCACTGTATCTACCTTGGTAAATAGTTCAAGACTTTACTAAGTTATGTTAACATGGTCTTGGCGTTGCTGTGAGCTAAACCAAGAAGTGTTACGTACAACATGGGGTGACATTGCCAGCGCAGTGTACTGGTGTTGTCGCAGTCGGTGGGGGAGTTGGAGTTGTTATGGTAGATTCACCTGAACAGATTGATTACAACACAATATGAAACATGAATTATTATAATTGTACAGTGATAACACCTGGCGTCCAGGCGGACAGTGTAAAGATTATGGGGGAATCTGAATCTGAAATGACGGAGGCTTCAGAATATTGGGGTAGGAATGTTTCAATGTCTACATCGGTCAGTGACACGGCTGTACATGTGTACCAGCGTCTGACTCTGGAGTGAGTTAATATACAGGTTAGATATATCACAGCGTAATGGGCGGGGTCAGCCCTGAGTGGCGCAGATCGTGGACGTACTCTTGCCCCCATCCATCATACACAAACCTATATATTGAACATGTTGTGAGAAACCAGACAAAACTCAATTTTCAAAATGTCCCGTTTCGGAAGTAGAAATAAATAAACACGACATGTCCATATCTAATTGGAAACACAGGAAAGCGACTGGTAGGTAAAAATATATTTTCCTCCACGACTTTCGCAACCTGATGATAACAACTATTGCCTGTGCCCGTTGTATCGATCACGTTGACGATAACAACACTTTCCTTTACAAGGTGATCCACCTTCTGTGTACACAACAATTCACTTTCCACCACCTCGCTATTGGGTAGTTGCTATGGTGGCCTGGAGGGGACATCGCGAGACAGCGATAAAGCGATAACACGAGACGAGAAAGCAATAGCACGAGAAGAGAAAGCGATAGCACGAGACGAGAACGCGATAAACTGATCATGAGAAGGCGAGAGAGCGAAATAGCGATAGAAGCCAGAAAGTATGGTGGCCGAGAGGGAACATTGCATTATCGCCTTCAGTCATGGCGTCGATAAAGCGATGACACAAGACGAGAAAGCGATAGCAACAAAGTAGAAAACGCTAACACGAGACGAGAGAAAGCGATAATATATGGTAATTGTTCATATAATTTATTGATAAAATGATAGTTATCATGCTATCTGGCTATATAGCCTAACAAGTTGAACTACCTTCTGTGTACTATGGTGACCGAGAGGGGACATCGCTTTATCGCCTTAAACTACGGCCGTGATTAAACGACAACATGACAATATCCCCTCTCGGCCACCATGATGGTGGCCTGTGTCATGTTTATATGTTTCTCCACGATGAAAAGTATATACGTAAAACAACATTTACATATAAGTTGTTAGACCACAAATTATAACCATTAAGGGGCGAACTATTTAATATAAGGGTGGGGGTTGAGGGAGTCATTTTGTTGTGTCCTTCAATTTTAGTGACTAATGTGTTTTTACTTCATAAAAGTCGTAAATGTGATAGGGGCTTAATTTGTTGGTGTTCCTCAACTTGTTTTGATTGGTATATGACGTAATACTGCAAATGCCATGATAAGGTTATCTTAAATATTCTTTTTGATATTTGATTTATGATCGACTTGCATTTTGTCTCTTGTCTTATAAAATCTACATGTACCGGGATATATTTACTTGCATGTAGTACGTGTAGTTTGATAAACATTGCTATGAGGGGATGAATGATTATGGTTTTTCTCCGTTTTTAGCAATATCACAGCGCTGAATGGGCTTCACGCATTGTATCCTTGTGGGAATCGAACCTGGGTCTTCTGGGTAACTACTAGGTTTCCCTAACACCCCTACTGCTGGGGACAATGGTGTGATCACACCTGATGTGTGTACTTGGGTAAATATGGAGAGACATCCTAATTAGTGTGGTCACACTGTTAACATTAATAATCATCTGTCATTCTAATAATTTATTTATACTTTAAGTATAGTTATTAAATAGGTTTTTGCTGATATGCAGTTGATCCATTCCTATAATTTTCACAGCTAATTTGTCTTTTATACCCAGAATTTGTCAACATTTTGCAGTGAATACATTTGTTAGATATAAATACAGAATGTTATCTTGTTTGCATACACGCCTGTGTTTAATTTGTTTTATTGTAGTAAATTAGCATGATCCACATGTACATACACTTAAACGTAAAAGTCTTGCTACTTTATTTCGCAAATAATCCGTGGATTAATTGCGAAACTTTATTGACCCTTTTATGGGACTAACTAGATTCATATCGCCCGGGCGTCGACTCAAGCATTGAATGGGATTGCAAGTTATACCCTTCAACGTTTATATGAGGTTTAGGATGCCCCTGTATTGAAATCTCAATATATTTGTTTTGGATGTTAATAACCGGCTTTATTAATAATGTTATGGATCTTCAACCCTTTTTGACAATCTCTGTTATCAAACTTTACTATTTTTTGTAAAAGAAGATCAGTCACAGTGTACAAAGAACATATTTCTAATCTATGAATCAGTTAAATTATTTTTGAGAAACATGATTAAACTATTTTGTTTTTGTTTAATGCCGCAACTGGGATACGATGACATGCATCAGCCAATTCAGCGAGTCTTACCACCCGACCCCGTTAGTCGCCTCTCACGACAACCATAGTCGCCCCTTACCGCAAGAATTGGTTGCTGAATGATTAAATAAAGTACGACGGTTTCCTACATGTCCAACCACTGAAGGGATGATTTGAACCCTGCAGGTTGGAGACATGTGTTGGAGCTCAATCACAAACAGGTGCTCTATTGTTTTCACCAAATAGAATTAACACAGTGTCTTCTTTGGATACTTTAATATAATATATTTAATATAGACCGTAAAGACACATTATTTGTTTCCTACAGGGTAGGGCATGTGTAACTTATTTTAAGTAAAACAGGGGCTTAATTATATATTAGGATCAAATCTCTTCACGCCCCGAAAATCAAATGGTTGCTTTCTTACAAGGCAGTAGTCCAAGTCCTTGGATCCTTACAACATTGCTGAACGCTGGGCCGTTGCTGCACGTCCACACCGACCCGGCATCAAGCGTGGAGTTGATGGTTAGGACGAGGGTGTGGCCAAGGAGGTGTGCTGCCACAGCGATACGTTCAGCAACTGAGAGGTATTCCACGTGGTCACTGTTCTTGTCAAGAACAGATGTTGGATTCTGGTGACTTGTTTGGAACATCTTCACGGAGTTCCTGTACCAGAGTGCTGTTGCTATGGTGTTGCCCCTGCTGTGCCTACAGGTCAGACTGAATGGCCTCTCTCCCACGGCCGGCATCGGGTCTGAGGTGAGGTCGTACAGTATGGACGACGCTGTCAACAGTCAACAGCTTAAATCGAGCGAACTAGTGACTTTTCTGAAAGCTTTTGTTTCTTGGGTTATGTATTACTACATACTGTTTTTAGACGCAGCGCAGGAAATCATGGGGTACTTAAAACTTGGACAACATGATTATTCGTTACTTTTGTAGAATTCTACAATGTTGCAAAGGTGAGTTGACAGCATGTATCAATTCATCAAATGTTTGGGTTTTTTTATAAATATAAAATATTGATAAATATCAAAATATAATATTGTTTACTCAAACCAGCTAGTGCAGTGACTTCCAGATAGATCAAGGTCTTCAATGACTGCTCCGCAAATGTAACTGACATCCTCTGTAAAGAAAGCGACAATGTGGACAAACAACAGTCAAATACGTACATTTGGAGGCATTTCAGTGAAAGAATATGGACCTGACGGGGATCACGCGGGGTCAGTGGACAAAGACACACAGTGAGGGAAGGGGTTTCCAGTCTCAGATCCTGCACGACCCGCCCTACTTCGTGATCTAATTTAACATTAAGCAGTGAAGCCATGACATAAATGATATACTGTTGAAGACGTGTTAATCCCAAACTCACTCACTATGACCATACCTCGATATACTATATTCGATGCGGTTTACTTGTTTTTCGGAAGTATTAAAGATATTCGCGAAAATAGCTTTCTGTTTTATATAGTTTTGGTTAATATTTTATCTATTTAAAAGTTATAGAGGAACACCTATAAACCTTGCATTCTCCGATTAGACAGACATATTTTGATTGCATACATTGCGAAATATACTAACTGAAAATACTTACATTTTCTGTGTATTTAGAACAACGGTGAATTATAGACGTCTAAAACCAATAGTTACACTGTATTAATACTGACAAATGATCGTGTAAAGTATTACATAAGGATGTTATCAAATAATCAAGTATACAATAATAACACATTATATTACAATGCATATATTTCCCTATCACGAGCAGGATAGTACGCTGAAATCAATAACTGAAATTATAGTGCTCAAGATAAAAAGATCGTTTTGGTTGGGGTTTGTTTGCATGTTTGTTTGTTTGTTGTTTGACATCATGAGCATCGACCCACGCAATTTGGATTCGATGACATGCACCAACCAAGTCAGCGAGCCTGACCACCCGATCCCGTTAGTCGCCTCTTACGACAAGCATAGTCGCTTTTTACGGCAAGCACGGGTTTGTGAAGGCCTATTCTACCCCGGATCTGCATGGGTCTTGCATGTGACAGCGTGAACCTATAGAAAGTATGGTTATACGGTGTAAACCCTGCACATGTTTGATCAACTTATGTGCATGTTTAAATGCTCATATATTGAATAGGCGATGTGGCAGGGATTCGGGCAAAGGGGATTTTACTTATATTAGTAGTACAGGATAACAAGTGTAATTGATCATGAGAATAATGAGATATTTTTTCATATCTTAAAAGATTTTATTTAATTTCACGACATGAGTCACAGCATCTTCGACACAAAATGGCCTAACGAGCGCTTCATCCAGGATTAAAACCAACCATAAACAAAGTCATTTAAAATTTAGATCGGATTATAGAATGGGTGGAGTTTTTCTTAATAATCTTTTATCCGATATATTTTCGTGTATGATTGAAACCACTTTCGATTTTTTACTTACAAAAATTGATGAGGGCATAGGAATAGTTACTCATGCACTTAAATATGCTGGCGAATTATGAAGCGGGAAATTAAATCAGATAAAGAAAACAAGCAATGGTTTGACTGGGAATGTGAGTTATTAACAAAAGCTCGAAGTGCTTGTCTGAAGAACTTCAGGAGACATAAAGAAAAAGTGTCACTATCAAGCTCTATTACAACTAGAAATACATACCAATATATTTGTAGACAGAAAAAGCATTTATTTCTTGATAAAGAAAAAGAAATTCCAGAAACAAAGTATTTCATCTTCAGAGGAGTTTTGAACAGCGTTACGAGTGGATCCACTATACAGTCTCCATACATAGCAAGGAGAGATCACGCAACAATTTAAAAACAATTTAAGTCTAATCAAGCATCATACATACATACATACATACATACATACATACATACATACATACATACATACATACATACATACATACATACATACATACATACATACATGTGTGTGTGTGTGTATGTGTGTAATCGATTCTCATAACAACAGACAACAACAATAGAACTTATTCTATTCCAAGCACTCTTTCGACAAACCTTTGTTTCAAGGATTTTGTTTCGCTAAAGGTACCAGTGCCGAAAAGTCGCAATGAAAGAATAAAGAAATTGAAATCCAAGTCCTGCATTCGTGTTGCTATTAATCTTGGAGTATGTTATGTCTGACAAGTATAGTGCATGCTTAGTGCTTTAATAATGGGACATTGATGGCGTAAATACGCAAGTCCCTCTTCTGTGGCACTTATAATGACATCATTACGATATGTTCAGCGTTCACAAAGGGTTCGTTAAGCAACAACTGTCGTAAATCCCACCCCTTTCATATTATTTAATGTGGAGTCTTGGACACGTTAAACAACCGTAAAGATACGACCGTCGACAGACTTAGAGGCTACATGACACCATCCATTAACCCGTTCGCATCTCTCGAGGATGTTACGTTCCTGGCTGCGATGCGGTCATGTGAGTACCCAGTTTGCACAAGTCCCCCCCCATTTATCCTTCTGAACCGTTTATCAGTGGATGTCCCAGAAACGCCAGCAATCACTTGGATGGTGTTGCTCTTTCTTGGTCTTCCGTCTCTTACTCTTTGAAATGTTAAATCCCAATGTTTTAATATCTACAACACTTGTATCGTTTACGTTTAATACCGTAAATGCTCTTAATGTTGTATGTTCCTTGTTACGTCTGTGTTTTAAATGTGTATCTGGCTGGACCCACCTTCTGAACCAACCAGTCACAGATAGCATAATAAGTAACGTCCCAAGCTCTCGGCGTACGATAACACGCAATCAATCAGGTCACTGAGCGTGGCCACCCGATCCCTTGGATGCACTGTGTTATCATTGTATTCCCGTGGACCTATTCTGAGGGGGTTTGGATGAAGGATCTGTCCAATCCGTTCTTTATGATGTAAATCCGTGTCTCCTTTACAATGTGCCGATATAAGGCCTTAAGTCATGACAGTGTATTGTATATTTCATAAGTGTTAGCAAAAACCTTGACCAACTGCCAGATGAGTCTCTTGATTGTCGCTAATGCTTACCTCCAAATAAAGGGTAAGAAACGGTTCATATTATACTTTCAATAAAATATCAATGTTGAAACTATTACACTAATTACATTTTATCGATTCATTCTATCTAGATGACAACAATAGATTTCAAGAAAAGACCAAGATCAGGTGTAACTTTGAAGAGTTCTGTTCTGATCAGAATTCATGTTTCTTTAGACGTTTGGCAGCCTGTATGACTCTTGCTCAACAGTTGTTTGATCAGGGCTACTACATTCAAGGCATTTCTAAAGATGTTATGTTGGACACGAAGAGGACATCTCCAAATGCGTTGCGTCAATGATGTAAGATATGTTTCTGTGTTTTCTTCAGGTGAACAATTGACTTGCCCTTGCAATGTGCCACCAGGGATGCAGGATACGCTCCCCCCTTCACGAACACCTGGTATTATCACTATGTTATAGTGATTCATAAACACTTGCTTATGATATAGTTGGAATCGTACAATGGAAATTTCTTATGATTATGGAAATGTTTTGGTCGATTCTTTTTATTTGAAAGTCGTGGCTCAAAAGATAATGCTTGATTCATCATTTGAGTGACATTCTTTGTTTGTCTTAAGGAGGTGACCGAACTCATATTCAGTTTATTACAAATATTTATCAGTTATCATGGCTGAGTTCCAGGTCAGCTGGACTTCCGGTGCCCTGAGGTATCTGACCCTGGCACATCTGCTTAATACAATATGATTGTAAAGTCTTCAAAAAAGAAACACATAGGAGATAATGAGAATGATGATTTTGTTTATTGATAAATCATTAAATAAAAATGCAATATTTGTGAATGAACGATTTTAGTCACAAGTTCGGTAACTGGTGTACGCAACCGTTTTAAACTTTTGTAGCATCAGGCAGCAGTTTGTATAAGACGAAAATGTGCACGAAAATAACATGGAAATGAAATGAAAAGTAGAATGCACGTGCAAGTCGTGACAATCATGTGCAATGACAATTACTATGAAATGCCAAAAACATTTTGTAATACGATTGTCGATATGTTGGTGGGAAAATGCCGAGACTGAATGCTGCCCATTGCAACAACGCCATAGGACGTCTTGAAGCTGAAGAGTCTCTGTCTGCAGTTGCACATCATTTCACCGTACACCAGAGCACCATATATCGCTGATGGGGTCGGTGTACCCGCCTCAGTTCAACCCAAGATCACCCGAGAAATGGTAGGCCAGGAGTCACATCCCGGCACAAGATCGCTACATCCGGGTCTTTCACCTTCGTCATCGACATGCTTCTGCCACCGAGACTGCAGGACGTGCCTGGTTTGAGGAGGGCTCAGGCCAAACAATCAGGATTCGCCTGCGAGAGGTGGTCCCTTGCCCCTTACTTAATGCAAAGCGACAGGAAGGGTATCAACAAGTGCCATCTTTAACGTCTTTTGGTATGACGCGGCCGGGGATCGACCCCCCGTGTACGTGTCTTGTGACAGGATAATTATTATGGCCATTATGTCTACAAAACATTTGACTATCACCATGCTAAGTGCCATCATTGTGTCAATCAAACTAAATGAAATACTCATTTATAGAATTCAAAGTTAGCCTATGCGTGTCATTGGGTGTAGGAAGGTTTTTATCGCTTTATTTTCACTCCATATTGCCGATCATTGCAGTCATATGTTCCTCACGGGTGTTTCAATGCCAAAGATATTTTGACAAAAAACTTATTAAGATCATTCTATATTAAGCGAGCGGTATATATTGAGTATACTGTTCTGTTACCCCTTGTCAACAGTTTTATCTTTTATAACTTGTTCCTGTCGCTATATTGACTCTGCGGTGTACATTTTCAAATCACTCACGCTTCATTGGCGGGGTCATCGGTGATCCAGTCGTTAAAGGTGCCAGTATTCACTGTGTAGTATTAAGTCCCTTATTCGTAGACCCGTGAAGATTCCAGGGTAGAATAGGTCTTCAGCAACCCATGCTTGTCGTAAAAGGCGACTAACGGGATCGGGTGGACAGGCTCGCTGACTTGGTTGATGCATGTCATCGATCCCAATTGCGTGGATCGATGCTCATGCTGTCAATCACCGGATTGTCTGATTTTTTACAGACCGCCGTCATATAGCTGGAATATTGCTGAGTGCGGCGTTAAACAACAAACCAGCCAACAAACCAACCTCGATCTCATGATCTCATGATTTTTGAAAGGATTTTCTCGTTTTTATATATTTGCCTATACTATTTTGCAGAGAGCAGCTGAGTGGACCCATATGGGCGTGAACTAGCATGGGGTTGGTGTCAGGTTAGAAATGTCACAGGGACTTAAAGCACTTCTGATACTAATTATAATAAAGAGATAACTTTCTGTGTACAATTCGTCTACCTCATGGGGTTCCTATAGTCACACTGTGACGTGTCATTGCTCACACAAGACGTGGATAGAACTCGAATATTGTGCCTGGTTGCAGCGTTAAACAATATTCGCTCGCAGATTCACCAACAGACTTACTTACAAATAGATTTACAATGATATATGCAGGTAAGAAACGTGTGTCTTTATCAACTGAAGGTATGCAAACACTTAAGACATCACTTGCCATATGCTTATTGCATTCAAAGTAAGGGGCAATCCTAAGGTCAGAGATCATAATCAAGTGTGACATGTATTTTACGATTATATACAATATATAAACTATTTGAATAACAATACTACATTGATCAAAGCAAAACGCAACGTGTAGATTATTCATCAATAATGTATATAAATCCTCTGTAGATAGTCAACACAGCATGGAATTATGATAAGGACTTTCACATGCATCGTAACACATCGTAGTTCAATCCATATTTCAATAATTAAGCTTCCTTTGTACTATATCATGCACAATGTAGACAACGTTTTACAGAAGGCTTTTCCTCTCAGTCAGACGTAGCTTTATGAAGGAGTCAACATTACTCAGTCGGGTATGTATTTCATACTAGTGGGTGATGGAAAACAAGATTACAATGTACAATGGTGTAAATATAGGGGGTTTGTTTGCAAGATAAAGAATATATTTTACAATGTATTCCAATAATGTCTTACATCAAGCGATAAACAATCATTGTTAAACTGTAGACTGTGTGCACTCTTTTCAAGTGTGAGAGAGTGAGTTAAAATTTATAGTCACATCGACATAATTTAGGCCATATCTGACGAAATAATGTTATACATTATTAAATGTATATAACAAATTGTTAGCGATGGACACTACAACAACTTGCCGTATGACACAATTTTATTATAACATTACTTTGAGGACATTTTAAAAAAGAAACTATTATTCAAAAACACAAAATAAAAACGACCTAAAGCTCGCTAGCAACCAAAACCAGGTCATCATAGCAGGGAGCATTTGGACCGAGACATGCATGTAAAGTGTCAAACCTATCTGTCCAGTAGTGTCAGAGGAGAGGAGAGATTATTGAGACAATGCACAGCACTGAAGGGTGACAATGGACAACACAGAAGGGTGACAATGGACAACACAGAAGGGTGACAATGGACAACACAGAAGGGTGACAATGGACAACACAGAAGGGTGACAATAGCCAACACTGAAGGGTGACAATGGACAAAACTGAAGGGTGACAATGGACAACACAGAAGGGTGACAATGGACAACACAGAAGGGTGACAATGGACAACACAGAAGGGTGACAATAGACAACACAGAAGGGTGACAATGGACAACACTGAAGGGTGACAATGAACAAAACTGAAGGGTGACAATGGACAACACAGAAGGGTGACAATGGACAACACAGAAGGGTGACAATAGACAACACTGAAGGGTGACAATGGACAACACAGAAGGGTGACAATAGACAACACTGAAGGGTGACAATGGACAACACTGAAGGGTGACAATGGACAACACTGAAGGGTGACAATGGACAACACAGAAGGGTGACAATAGACAACACTGAAGGGTGACAATGGACAACACAGAAGGGTGACAATGGACAAAACTGAAGGGTGACAATGGACAACACAGAAGGGTGACAATGGACAACACAGAAGGGTGACAATAGACAACACTGAAGGGTGACAATGGACAACACAGAAGGGTGACAATAGACAACACTGAAGGGTGACAATGGACAACACTGAAGGGTGACAATGGACAACACTGAAGGGTGACAATGGACAACACTGAAGGGTGACAATGGACAACACAGAAGGGTGACAATGGACAACACAGAAGGGTGACAATGGACAACACAGAAGGGTGACAATGGACAACACTGAAGGGTGACAATGGACAACACAGAAGGGTGACAATGGACAGCACTGAAGGGTGACAATGGACAACACTGAAGGGTGACAATGGACAACACAGAAGGGTGACAATGGACAGCACTGAAGGGTGACAATGGACAACACAGAAGGGTGACAATAGACAACACTGAAGGGTGACAATGGACAGCACTGAAGGGTGACAATGGACAACACTGAAGGGTGACAATGGACAGCACTGAAGGGTGACAATGGACAGCACGTCCCTTGGTTTTACAAACGTCATAAAATGGGGGCTACGGCAACGTCATTTACTTGAAACAGAAGTTAGCGAATAGCTCCCAGAAAAGTTTGAATTGGAAAGAAATCCAGACATGGTTAATGCTGCAAATCGACTATTAGGAACGTTGTGTGAAATTTGGGGATGACGAGGATTACCTCTGGAGGCGCCGCTTCATTTTGGTGCCCTGACATGGGCATGATCTGTCTGGCTTCAAAGCCTGCTTCATTCATAGCCTGAATCAATGTCGGTCTCAGAAAGTGGGCTGTGTACCATTTTGAAGACTGTGAATATTTAGATACATCAGCCATGAAAGATTGAAACTAGTTTTCCCTAATGTTTGCAATTAGGCCATATTTCTGATTCAACGGTAGCCATATGCGTTATTTATTTGAAAAGTAAGTTTTGATTTTGCATTTTGCATCTAAAAGAAATTGTCGTATGAAGATACCGTCCCATTTTAATGTTATTTTTAGACATTGAGGAATTCCCCTTAAGTAGTTCTGTATCTCTCCACTCGATTGATGACGTTATCACGTGACATACTGACGTTCATCGGGAAATGATTTGTTTGTTTGTTTGGTGTTTAACACCGCACTCACACCGCACTCAGTACTATTCCAGCTATATGACGGCGGTCTCTAAATAATTGAGTCTGGACCAGACAATCCATTGATTGACACCATGAGCATCGATCTACGTAAATGGAATACGATGACATGCATGAACCAAGTCAGCGAGCCAAACCACCCGATCTCGTTAGTCGTCTCTTCGACAACGTTAACCATAGTCGCTTTTTACAGCAAGCATGGATTGCTGAAGATCTATCCTACCCCGGATCTTCATGAAGTACTCTTACTCCATTAATATTATGGAAGTAAAATGTCGATTACAAAACTAGCCTTTCTGCCTCCCGTGTAACTTGATCCCGTTAATTTATTTTGAAATACTTATTTGGTTCTAATCACAATCGATATTATGGGGTCGAACGCCACATGTTAATGGACCCACCATATATAATAGCAGCTGAACACAACTTTATAATGATTTCTTGTTGCGAACTGCATCTTGTGTAGAAATGTGTTTCCTTTCAACTACTATACATTTTAAGCTTCCTGTAAGCTACAAAGTATCATGATACATTTTCTGTGCATTACACGTTAGATTTAATGGTATGACTATTGTATTAAGGTATATCTATTTATACAATAACTGGTTTCTGTAGGGGCCTCATGCAGAGATCAGATGTATTGCAAGACCCCGAGGACCGAAATAGCATTACCTACAGCCAATGATATACCTGACTTAACACGTTTTTCTTCGACCTGGTATTTTCCATATCATTCCTGTGATGTCCTCCTTTCAATCTTTTGCTTGTGCGTGTGACATTTGTCACACGTGGGATACGTACACCTTTTCAAGGTATTATCACTACTAGTATTTTATAGTGACTCATCAAAACATGCTTATGATATATTAGGAATCGTACAATGGAGATCTCGTGTAATGACGGAAAGGATTTTATCGCTGTTATTTATTATCTTAATACATTATATATCTGTGTGTGTGTGTGTGCGTGCGTGCGTGCGTGCGTGCGTGCGTGCGTGTGTTGTTCCTGTCGCTATATCACTCTCACTCTGAACTGGTGGGAGTGCCGGTGGCCCTGTCACATAAGTTCCTCAGCAATACGAAGTGGTGCTCGTGTGTTCGAATTTCAATTCAAACTGGTGATGATCATTTTTTTTTTCAGCACCATGTCCTTGCTAATGGGTTTCCACAAAGTCATGCGTATCTAAGACTTTCTCCCACACATCTGATATAACGCTCAAGGCCGTGTTAAACCGAACAAGCTCAGTCACTGATAACAGGCAGCCACAGCACGTATGTACGTTCGTCTGGGGCTGTGATCTCTGTATCAAACAACAGCTCTCAGGAATCTTAGGAATCAGTTGTTAGCATAGCTGGGTCCCATTTCATTGCCGACGTCCGTCACATTGACCTCTTGTCCGTTTTGTTTCTTGTCAGACACCAAGTAACTTCGTATTCTTTCACGATAGCGTACGACGAGGACGGTAATGATAACAAAGATGACAACAGCGAGCAGAGAAAATCCAATAGCAATGCCAAGAGTAATATCTCGTTCAGGATCTTCGGTACTAGGAGGACTCTTTGGTGTTGATGATTCGTGTGATATTTGTGTTGTTCCATCTAAAATGAAGAACATTTACTCATCAAAAACAACAACAGAAAAAGCCAAACAGAGCAGCATTTAAGAAACGAAATGAAACACGAGGCAGGGTTCTCTGTCAGTAGGATGAAGCTGAACAAACATGTTGGTCACTGCAGGATTGTTTCAAGGAGACCAGTTCACAAAGGTCACCGTGTTCGTCAGGTAAACCATCTAGCACTCAATGTAAGCAGCTTTTGTCAAATACTCCCCAGGGAGCCCAGAATGAAAATCGAGTGCACACAGATCAACTGACCGTAGGAATAATGGTATCGTGCTTTGAGCATTCACTTAGGAAATAATTGGCGAATTTGAGATAAATTAAAATATAGGTTCATACTGTCACTCGTCTTTGAGAAATGTATCTAATTTTCTCAAAGAAAGTATTACGGGGACAAATATTATACTTGAGAGCATTTGAATATTAATTTTTTGTTTTCAAAAGTAATAGTATTTGTGTTTTGGAAAGTCTTCCCCATTATATTACCACACGCAAATACAACTTGATTGCTCTGTTGGCAGTGCTGGAATTATCTGTACATGTTGTGGCAATTGGATGGATGTAGACCTGATAACGATCATAATACACAAACTAAGAACGCTGAGGTAAATTGGCTAAACAGTTTGTGACATTTATAAAGCCTAAATTAATATATCAAACAATGTTAACGGTTCATATACCAAGAATAATAAATAACACAGGTTATAGTGTGACACGCTCGGTACACTGGAAGAGATTTAACAACTCAAATGTCACTCAATTTATTTCTTATGGAACTTCTATAGCAGAAGAACTGTGCATACATTTTCTGCAAAGTGAAGATGAGATGTGTATTCGCTCTTCTGTAAGGATTAACATGTTTGAATTATCAAGGGTATTGACGTCCCAAACAACTGATCAACGCCAGAACATGTAATGCTTTTGATGATTCCTTAAGGATAAGAGGCACGGTGTCCCAGTCGTCTAAGGAGCCCAATGTGCTGAAAACGAAACGCGATCTCACCCCTTTTGGATACGACAATATTGATACACAAAGCAATATATATTAGGCACCACGACGGTTAGAACTGGTCTTCAGGAACCCATGCTTGTCGTAAGAGACGACTAACTAGATCGGGTGGTCAGGCTCGGTGACTTAGTTGATGCATGTTATCGTATCCCAATTGCGTAGATCGATATTCATGATGTCTATCACTGGATTGTCTGGTCGAGACTCAATTATCTACATACCGCTGTTACATAGATGCAATATTGATGTTTGCTGCGTTAAAAAACAAACATATAGAGCTTAGTGTTGGATGTACTGAAAAACTAGCTCCAGAAAAAAGATTAGATTAGATTGTCAATTACTTGTTAACACCTACTGGATTCAATCACGTATTGTTAGACAAGGCATTTTGTAAATTTGTTTGTTAATGGTAACACCTTTTGATACCAGAAGTTGGAAGGAACGTGACATTTATCTAGTTGAGATTCGGTGGGTAGTCCCGGGAAATAGCAACTTGGTTTAACAAGAGGAATGTGATTTTTGTATTACCTGTTATCGTATCAACTCCACTACACTGGAGTGTCCTGTTGATGTTAACACATGAAAACATAACACTGACATCCCCGAAACGATCGGCTGTAATATTGAAGAAGCTAGTGAGGACAATGTCGGCGAAGGTGCTCGTTGTCTCGTTCTGTGACAGTACGTCTGTGATGCCGCCAGTAGTTATATAAAACTCGGCTTGATGAGAACAGTGGTAGCTTCTGATGTCCACGGTCAGAGTGATATTTGTGCCAGTTTGCAGTGCGTTGGTGTCTGCATCGCTGCTGATGTTGCACTTTGGTGGACCTGGTTGAGTCAAGAAACATGTTTTTATTCTGCACTAACAGAAACATTTAATATTCCCACTAGAACAAGTAAATAAACAACCATACTATGAATCAGAACCATCAACAAACTTTGGGAATGCATGTTTCAGTTTAAATGATCATATGGAAATATTTTGAATATATAAAGAAGTGTTTGTTTATTATTAAAACCGGTACTTACTTTTCACTAGCCTCTGTACTCCATCACAAGTCAAAGTCCAGTTGGTGTCACAGATAAAGTTCAGTGTTACATCTCCAAAGTGATGGAGCTCAATGTTGAAGGTTAGGTTAAACAGTGAGTTACTGGCGTTCATCAACTGTTGAGTGACACCACCAGAAGTGATACTGAAGCCAGTTTCACGAGAACAGAAGTAATCTGTGCTGTTCACTGTCAGGGTCAGCTGGGCGCCAGGTTCCAGAGAGCCAGTGTCGTCGTCACTGCTGATTGTACACTGTGGAACCTCTGGTGAGAGAATAGCATTTGAGAGTTACTACTAACCCGTTGAAGATACAACTCTTTAATAAATAACATTAAGCTGGTATTACACAGTGTTTAATACCAAAGCGCGTGCTTACGTACTGCCGGAGCGTGTGTCGCCGACAAACACTTAAAACTCTCAACATCGCTGGGCTTATTCAGTGACTATGCGTTCAGAGATGATGGACAACTGAGAGGAGCTTATGCACACAATTACATCATTGGAAATATAGAGAATACTACACTCATTTTCGTTAGGTACCATTTTTGCGAAACGAGTAGACTTTCTATGGAATCTGATCGAGCGAGTGTGTGTGTGTGTGTGTGTGTGTGTGTGTGTGTGTGTGTGTGTGTGTGTGTGTGTGTGTGTGTGTGTGTGAGTGAGTGAGTCCGGACTATTGCCGATGTTATAGTGCTAGCCCACTGAAGTACAATGCAACAGTTTAATATGATCACCCCACTCAGACACAGTATTAAGACACAGTGTACTGACTCCTAGCCGACCAGTCCCTGTTTTAGCCCTTTAATGCCGAGCTCACACACTAATGTATTACTCTAAAGTGTACATATCGTCTACTCTAGTCCCGGACGGAGTATCTACTCCCGAAAGACCCTTCTTTGTCTTCCAATCATCAGAGATGCAACGACACATAGGAAATATTTCACTTGATTTTGTCAAATACAAGAGGTTTCATCTCACCTTACATTAAAACACTAACTTCTAATTGGTTAAGGAGCGGGCGTTAATGTTTCATGTATCCCGTTAATGTACCATGCTGAGAAACCAATCGGAACACACCTTAAGGTAACTTGCTTATCTCGCATAAATATCATTGTATGAAATGAACATATGCTTATATCAATGTATTGGGTAAAGGGAAGTAACTCTTCGTTAGCATCGTCTGCTGGCTGTCAAAGTGGCTGAATTAAAGTGTTTTACTCAGTGAAACCTCGGACATATATTCCGGGTCTGTACGAATGAATGTCGGTGAGATAAATTCGTTGTCAACCGATCCCTCGGGGCATATGGTGGCATGTACCCTGTGTATGAGCCTATGTACCCCTCGCCTTATAGGCTGGGGTGTAGCGCAGGACAAACGAAGGACTCTACAAATATCATAAATGGAAAGAACATTCGGACACTCCTAATTGGAGTTATGCAAGCATTATGATGAGGCTCCAAGCATCAATAAGTAAGCATCACCACAGTACAGTGTTCGAGCTTCTTGCTGTCTCCGTTTCTCATGAGAGATGAGTTGAAATACACGCGTTTTCATAGCCGTATCTAACGGGGGCCGTTTTTAAAATACAATAACGGAATTATCAATTATCTGCACTATTCAAATACCTAGACTGAATGAGTATGGTTTCAAGCCGCTTTTAGCAATATTCTATCAATATCACAAGCAGGAGCCGCCATAAATGGGCTTCACACATTGTACATAGTGAGGAATCGAACTGTAGCAGGTGTATATATTTGTATTTTAGTCTTTTTTGTAAATAAATCTATTTCAAGTTTTGTTTCTGTTGAACTTTATTCAACAGAGGTGTGTGTTTGTTTTTATCCCATCATTCTAAGTCCAGGCCTCAGTGATCAATCACAACCCAAGCTCAACTACATTCTTTGTCCAGCCCTCTGCTGATCAATTACACCCCAAGGATCCTGTGATTGGCCACATTCAAACTTTACCTTCTTGCTCTGACTAACTCCATATTGCCACCTTCACTATGCACTGCACTGGGAGTATTCATAGATCACCACAAAAGGTTAGTTTATAATTTATCTTTATTTCTAAATAGGATTAAATAGTAATCAAAGATTATGCATTATAAATAAGCATCTCAGAAGTAATTATATTTACATTGAATCACATATTTCTATTAATGTTGATGTTTTGAATGAATGTGGTTTAGAGGCTGAACTTTAAACCTAAGCTTTAGTGTATTTTAATATTATCTTGTATACATGCCAAGTTATATCTACATTAATGGAATTGCACCAACTATGCATTTTGTTATTCATTTCATTGTATTTAGTCACTCTAAGTATTTATTCCTGCTCTTTCTTCTGCAGGACATATCATGAATGGTGACATTTCAAGGGTAACACGTTTTACACCCTTGTGCCACACATAGGGTATGTGTAACCATTTTACTTAATATGTACTGTAAGCCATTTCTATCATATCATCTAATAATAACCAGTTGTAAGTAATGTAACAGAAATGATTGTATTGCTTTGATGATGATATGATATATATTATGTTTTAATATGCATATACTATATTATCTGTTTCTTATTACAGGGTGACTATCGTGATTATAATAAACATAAGCCTCACACCCCGTAGCCTTCTTGGTGTCATCTGTTTAAAATAATGGATAAAGCCAAGAAAACCCGGTTACAGAACTCGGGCCTTTTAACCACTAGGCTACCCAATCAAATACCTTGAACTTGAGACCCGTGAAGATCCGGGGTAGCTTAGGTCTTTAGCAACCTATGTTTGCCGTAAAAAGCGACTTTACATGTCGTGAGAGGCAACTAACGGGATCGGGTGGTCAGGCCCGCTGCAAGGATTGATGCATGTCATCGTGTCCAAATTGCGTGGATCGGTGCTCATGATGGCAATTACTGGATTGTCTGGTCCAAACTCGATTATTTACAGACCGCCGTCACATAGCTGGAATATTGCTGAGTGCCGCGTTAAACAACAAACAAACAGAACAAAACAAGCAAACCTTGAACTTGAACCGTGAATCCTTTCTAAGCAGTTTCGTATTGTGTTGTATGACATCATACTGGGTCTCGTCATGACGAGAGAATACAAGAATACAAGAAAACATATAGAACTATTTGAGAATCTATTTGAGAATCTATTTGAGAATCTATTTGAGAATCTATTTGAGAATCTATTTGAGAATCTATTTGAGAATCTATTTGAGAATCTATTTGAGAATCTATTTGAGAATCTGTTGGAATGACGTCTCTGCCTAATACAAATGAAATACTCACTCGCTACCGTCAGCTGACACACGTCGTCGGGGACGGCTCCAACTACATTTGCATCCACGATCTTCCACGTGCCAGCATCTTCCCTGTGTACACTGTCTATAGTCAGTACAGAGTGGGTGTCATTAAGTGTGGCCCTGTATCCGGCCACGGGGCTGCAGCTGGGGTTGCAGGTGACGACATACCGGCCGCCAGTGGGTCGTACCCATATAAAGCCCGTGTAGTTGTTTTTGTCCCCAGTGATACTGAAGGGTGTGTCAAGTAAGGCCACCCCTCCTGGACACGGTGCATCACTGGCAGGAACACCTTGGACACACAGGGAAACAAGTATTCATATTAGTAAGACTCCAGTGTTGAGACCAGGAACGTAACATAAAGGTGCAAGTTTAACTGAGGGTTAGTATTTATTTACTGCCATATGGTAACTGGTATTATTACCATTGAAATACAATGCACGTAAAAGTGTGTACCAACTTTCCTGGTGGCCCACTTCAAACAATAACAATAAAAATGTCAGCAAATGAAACCACTATGATCAGAAAGTGATTAGTTTGCAATTTAAACTTGAAACAAAGTGTTTCATCAAAACAGTTAATACAGTTTAACATTTGACATTTGAGACTCCCGATTATGTTTCCAGGTTTGTCAGCACCATACCCGTGCACGTGGGTTTCACCAAGGCAGTAAACGTCTAAGACCTGCATCACTTTCCTCCCACATTAAGCTGACACGCTGTGCTATGATATAACTAGAATACTGAGCAAAGCGGCCTTAAACCCAACCCACTCACTCACTCACTCAATCACTTTTGGGACCTGTACTTACATAATGACTGACTTGCTCCACTTAGTAGTGTACAAAGAACCCTCTGTCATAAGTGACGTGGGAGTTTCCAGAAGTATAGCAGGAAGCAAGATACGTACATACATTTATCTACAAAAAAATATATGTTCTGCAGACTGGCACTGCATATTTAAGATTAATTACCACCAGCGTATGTAAACATGGACAAAGACGGATAGCTGGAGAACTAGTTCCCTACATGTGGTACACGGTAACTGTGCATACACTGATCAAAGGAGCCAATAAGTGCGACCCTTTTCATTAATGGATAACTTACAAAATATACAATTTTTTATATAATGTTGAAAAACAAAATGTCCAAAACACCGGTACATCACCATCAAAATAATAGGTAAAATCAGTAAACATATTTCTTTATTATTGATAAACGGACCTGGTCTTTAGGGTGTATGAATTAAGAGCAAAGTGGGCAGAAACTCTGCAGGATGACCTGACATGATCTACATCATCACCTGAAGCAGGTTTACTATAGGATATCCACTAAGGTCTCACATTTTATATTTACGGATCCGGCGACCTTAAAAATCGATGTTTTAGAAATAAAACAGAATGTAAAGTTTACCTCTGACGGTAAAGATCGCTTTGACAATAAAACTGTTCACTGAAAAGCCGCTGTCAGATTTTAGAATAAGGACCCAAACCAGGCTAAAAACTCAATCTAAGCTTATCACCTGGAGATCCAAACCAAACTTTAATATGATCACAAAAAGTCCCGCGTTTTATTTTATAATTATAATTTTTTTAGACCAAACGACCAAAGTTTTCACTTTCAAAATATGCAAATCAAAAACAAATATCTGACTTTGACAGACACAATTAGAAACTTACACAACAACATTAGGTAACTGCAAGAATAGATAGTAAAATCGCAATCTAGACTTTCAGGTTAAGTTGAGGAATGAGTGAGTGCGTTCACATATTAGAAAGTCTACTTTCACTTTGGATCATAAAAAAACATAATGTCTGCTTACCATGAATGACAAATGCAGTCACGATAATTACTGCTACTTGACTCTCTGGACACATATTCGTGCAGCTGACCGACTGAAAAGAAACATCAGTACATTGTTATTTGGTGTCCTGTGCATCACCGCACTCAGCAATATTTAATCAGACCAGCTTTGGACCAGAAAAACCAGTGAATGATATTCTGAGCAATTACCCACGCCGTTGAATGACACGCAAGCAAACCAAGTCATCATCCGACTCTCACAACAAGCATGGGCTGCTCGGCACCGTTTCCTATCCGTTCTCACACAGCAACAGCCAGGTAAAACCCAGTATACACAACGAAAAGAGATAATCAGCCCCTGTACGCATGTGTATTTAACAACGACTGGTCGTACGAGCTTTGGCATTGAAAAACTGTAAACATAACTTCGGAAAGACGCATGTGGTAAACTTAAAACAGTTATCCTGTTTTGAGATTTTAATCATGATTCTAACAAAACTCAGAGGCACTGTATTTGGACAAAAACAGTAGCCACAAAAAGTATGGAGGTGAAGCTTCGGGAACACAATTCCACATCATTATTGATGGGGTAAAATGTAATTTTAAGTCCAATGATGACATCGATGACACAAATCATCCATAGCGAGGAAACCAGCCACGTGTCCTGATGACAGCTGCCAGCCTTCGTCTCATCCCTCCAGGCAGTCGTCCGAACTGCAGCCCCTCCCGATGAACAGCTGCCTCCAATTGGACCAGAGTCTGTACTGGTGGGCTTAGTGCCTGTACTCCACGTCCTCAGATGCTCCAAATATGCTCCAGCGGGCTGAGCTCATTACTCGTGGCAAGACGGGGCAGGGTCGACACAGAGTCATTCTGCAGAAAAGCTGTTACTGCTCGAAACGATGTGGCCTATTGTCATCCATGCATAAGGTGTGGTGGTGAGTGGGTGGTTGTCGAAATGCGGGGCAACAACTGGTTGCAGGATGTTACGAATGTATCCGTCACCATTGAGATTGCCTTTGATGGTGACAAGGTGCAGCTTACAACCGTGAGACAGGCAGCCTCAAACCAGTACCGAACCTCTACATACGGGGCGTAGGTCTTATGTTCCTAGCTGTGTAGTCCGTATTTCTATGGCTCCAAACCTTCAGGAACCTCCTCTCATTGGACCAATGGACTCTTCGCCAAGTTCTCAGATTCCAAGCTCTCCGGGCCAAGCACCATTCTAAACGAATTCCCCGATAATGATCAGCAAGTAATGGACGCTTGATTAACCTTCTGGTCCTTAAGTTTACGTCCTAAATTTTCGTATGGCATGCCCATCTCCCTGAGGCCGTGCAAATTTCGGTTGACTGTGGGATTAGCAAGCCATGCGTATCGCCAACTGGACGTCGACATATGTTTTCCAATATTTTCATGTTTGTAATCAAAGTGCTCAACTGACCTGATGCACAACGGGTAAGACCAGTGTTGTTACAATATAGATATGGCTTATCGATCAGGTTGTCTTGACTCGGCGCCGTCATTTTGTTTGAAGTCAATGCAAGTAATTTTAGGCTTAGTTCGGAAAGGGTATAAACTGGACTTTTATAGTCAGATAACTCCCTTGCCTCGGGAAGATGGGTCATGCCTGTCGAATGCGTACCAATAGAACGCCATGTTCGCGTCTCTGATAACCTTCCTCATGCCACGTTGACAGACAATGGTTCCACAATGCAAGACAGTGACGTCCCCATAATTGGGGTGAGCAGATGCTTCACGTGCATGTCTTGCTGCGATGTGACGTCACAGTTGCCATTGTACTGTCCTGTCATTTCGCACACCTTTCTTGATATGTTCATTACAAAATTTGCAGTTGTTGCGAATGGGGACATTTCAGTATTAATTATTTCCTGGGGTGTTTAACCTTCTTTTTTGTGTGCAGTTTTTTAACGTGGACAACTTCTTTATTTTGACGTCATCTGATACAGATACATGTATGTGATCTCTAAGCCAATCTTAACCATTTCCTCACACCTATCCATGTAATCTCCAGACAAACCTATCTATGTACTCTCCAGCAACACCTATCCATCTACTCTCAGCCACACCTATCTATGTACTCTCCAGCAACACCTATCCATCTACTCTCAGCCACACCTATCTATGTTCTCTCAGCCACACCTATCTATGTACTCTCAGCCACACCTATCTATGTACTCTCAGCCACACCTATCTATGTACTCTCAGCCACACCTATCTATGTACTCTCAGCCACACCTATCTATGTACTCTCAGCCACACCTATCTATGTACTCTCAGCCACACCTATCTATGTACTCTTAGCCACACCTATCTATGTACTCTCAGCCACACCTATCCATGTACTCTCAGCCACACCTATCCATCTACTCTCAGCCACACCTATCCATCTACTCTCAGCCACACCTGTCCATGTACTCTCAGACACACCTATCCATTTACTCTCAGACACACGTATCCATGTACTCTCAGCGACACCTATCTATGTACTCTCAGCCACACCTATCTATGTACACTCCAGACACACCTGTCCATCTACTCTCAGACACACCTATCCATGTACACTCAAGACACACCTATCCATGTACTCTCAGCCACACCTATCCATCTACTCTCAGACACACCTATCCATGTACACTCCAGACACACCTATCCATCTACTCTCAGACACACCTATCCATCTACTCTCAGACACACCTATCCATCTACTCTCAGCCACACCTATCCATGTACTCTCAGCCACACCTATCCATCTCCTCTCAGCCACACCTATCTATGTACTCTCAGCCACACCTATCTATTTACACTCCAGACACACCTATCCATCTACTCTCAGACACACCTATCCATCTACTCTCAGACACACCTATCCATGTACTCTCAGCCACACCTATCCATCTACTCTCAGACACACCTATCCATCTACTCTCAGACACACCTATCTATGTACTCTCAAACACACCTATCCATCTACTCTCAGACATACCTATCCTTCTACTCTCAGACACACATATCCATCTACTCTCAGACACACCTATCCATCTACTCTCAGACACACCTATTCATCTACTCTCAGCCACACCTATCCATGTACTCTCAGCCACACCTATCCATCTACTCTCAGCCACACCTATCCATCTACTCTCAGCCACACCTATCCATCTACTCTCAGACACACCTATCCATGTACTCTCCAGCCACACCTATATTTGTACATTCCAGACACACCTATCTATGTACTCTCAGCCACACCTATCTATGTACACTCCAGACACACCTATCCATCTACTCTCAGCCACACCTATCCATGTTCTCTCAGACACACCTATCCATGTACTCTCCAGCCACACCTATCTATGTACACTCCAGACACACCTATCCATCTACTCTCAGACACACCTATCCATGTACACTCCAGACACACCTATCCATGTACTCTCCAGCCACACCTATCTATGTACACTCCAGACACACCTATCCATCTACTCTCAGCCACACCTATCCATCTACTCTCAGACACACTTATCTATGTACTCTCAGCCACACCTATCCATGTACTCTCAGCCACACCTATCCATCTACTCTCAGAAACACCTATCTATGTACACTCCAGACACACCTATCCATCTACTCTCAGACACACCTATCCATCTACTCTCAGCCACACCTATCCATCTACTCTCAGACACACTTATCTATGTACTCTCAGCCACACCTATCCATGTACTCTCAGACACACCTATCCATCTACTCTCAGAAACACCTATCTATGTACACTCCAGACACACCTATCCATCTACTCTCAGACAAACCTATCCATCTACTCTCAGCCACACCTATCCATCTACTCTCAGACACACCTATCTATGTACTCTCAGCCACACCTATCTATTTACACTCCAGACACACCTATCCATCTACTCTCAGACACACTTATCTATTTACACTCCAGACACACCTATCCATCTACTCTCAGACACACCTATCTATGTACACTCCAGACACACCTATCCATGTACTCTCAGACACACCAGTCCATCTACTCTCAGCCACACCTATCCATCTACTCTCAGCCACACCTATCTATGTACTCTCAGCCACACCTATCTTTGTACTCTCAGCCACACCTATCCATGTACTCTCAGCCACACCTATCTATGTACACTCCAGACACACCTATCCATCTACTCTCAGACACACCTATCCATGTACTCTCAGCCACACCTATCTATGTACTCTCAGCCACACCTATCTATGTACACTCCAGACACACCTATCCATCTACTCTCAGACACAACTATCCATGTACTCTCAGCCATACCTATCCATCTACTCTCAGCCACACCTATCTATATACTCTCAGCCACACCTATCTATGTACACTCCAGACACACCTATCCATCTACTCTCAGCAACACCTATCCATCTACTCTCAGCCACACCTATCTATGTACTCTCAGCCACACCTATCTATGTACACTCCAGACACACCTATCCATCTACTCTCAGACACACCTATCCATGTACTCTCAGCCACACCTATCCATCTACTCTTAGCCACACCTATCAATGTACTCTCAGCCACACCTATCTATGTACACTCCAGACACACTTATCCATCTGCTCTCAGACACACCTATCCATCTACTCTCAGCCACACGTATCCATGTACTCTCAGACACACCTATCCATGTACTCTCCAGACACACCTATCTATGTACTCTCAGCCACACCTATCTATGTACACTCCAGACACATCTATCCATCTACTCTTAGCCACACCTATCAATGTACTCTCAGCCACACCGATCTATGTACACTCCAGACACACTTATCCATCTGCTCTCAGACACACCTATTTATCTACTCTCAGACACACCTATCCATGTACTCTCAGCCACACCTATCCATCTACTCTCAGACACACCTATCCATCTACTCTCAGACACACATATCCATGTACTCTCAGACACACCTATCCATCTACTCTCAGACACACCTATCATCTCCTGTCAGACACACCTATCCATCTACTCTCAGACACACCTATCCATCTACTCTCAGACACACC